ATGGCAAAAAACAGCAACACCAGCAGCTACAACAACAATAACAACAACTACTGCTGCTACTACTACTGCTACTACTGCTACTACTACTGCTACTGCTACTGCTACTGCTACTGCTACTGCTACTGCTACCACGTCCTACTGCTACTACCACATCGACAACTACTGCTACCACGTGTTCTGCCACTGCCATGAATACCACGGCGATGAGGTGCTACTTGCTCGGTCAGTTTGTGCGACGAACAGCATCATAAGTTTGTGGTGTTCTTCTCCAACGCCATAGCCCTTTAAATTTGTATCGGGGGTTTCTGAGTCTCCATGCAGGTAACCCAGCAGTCCGGGCGATGCCCATGCAGCTGTGCACAGGGATCCAACGATGATGTCCATTTGCGTCCAGAATTCGAGTTTTGCACCAAAGGCCTGTTTTAGAACCGGTATGCAGATATCGGAAGTGGGCACGCTAAAAGTGATGGCCATGTCATAGGCGATGTGTGCTTCTTCGGAAAGCAGTGGTGTGCCCGATCGATCCCAGACTTCGCGAGCACAGCTCACACGAGCCAGCCTGCGGCCTTCCCAGGGCTTCCTTGCATGTCCGGGCAATGCGAATGTTAACCAGAAAGATCAAGGTTTTGGGCCAGTGTCGAAAAGACCGCTGCGGTGGACCTCGTGGTGTGGAAAGCTTCAACGTCACTTGTGACCGGTCTGTCGACCCTCCATTTCATGTGAGCTGGCTGGTGCGGAACTTCCCCGAGAAGGCGGGATTCACAGCACATGTAAATCTCCCGCTGACGTGACCACTTCTGGGCCTGGGCGCTCCCAGGTTCGGCGGATGTTGAGCTTCGGCGCTCCCGGAGTGAACCGGCACATGAATTCCCCAGGCCTGTTTGCTAGTTTGCTGGTGTGCGTTGAAAATGGACTCCGAAACTCTTGGTGCGATTGAAGGCGGCGCCATGGACAGGAACGGCCTGCATGGAGTGACTATGACAGTCAGCCGCCAGACGCAAAGAGTGTTGAGGGTCTTTTTTTGGGAATCCCTGCAGGGCGTACATGTCAAACTTGGACACAAGATTCCTGGCAGTGTCCGTGCACATAGGTGACGATCTCATCGACAGCTTGAATGCTCGACTGGGCCGTTCCCTGGCTGCAACATGAGTCAAGGGAGGCAGGCGGGATGTGGCACTGAGTGCAAACCGGTCTTAAGGCTTGTCCGTTGTTTGGCACATTGGCTGCTGGCCGCCCGCTCGCTACCTCGTTGCGAGCGGGGTGTTGACCATTGAGTCTGGCTGGGTTCGGCTGGCAGCTGCTGGCATAACGCTGCAGGCCGCAAACAGCCGTCAACATGTTGCTGGCAATTAGGTGTTGAGCATGATGGTATTCGGAAGGGTTAGGGTCATAGTGCTTCGGGAGAGACGAATGGGAAGGTTAGTGTGCGGTCAAAGGTTTGTGAAGTCGACATGTGCATTTCAGAGTTGTTTGCCGTTGTGTGCACAAGTAGGTGAACCTTGCAGCCGTGTTCGCTGCTTTGCTTTCAGTGCCGGTCCTGCCAACTCTTCATGATTCACGTATCTTTAGGGAACGACTTCAGAACGCAGCATTTTGCAGCTGCAGACTGTTAGGTGCATCCGTTCAACTGACAGATCGAGTTGTTCTTGAGTAGGTTGGAGCATGAGTTGGAACTGTGCAGGTCGACCTTGCAGATGTGTGCCGTGGCAGAAGTTGCCGACCGCATTGCAGCTTACGGGCGGATAGCCATCTCTGAGCAGGTAGGCAAGCAAGAAAGCACAGCCGAGGTTGGTTCACATCCGCAACATGAGAGTGGAAATTGCTTGCCCTGAAGGCTCGTCTTCCATGTGGCAGACTGCAAGGGTCCAAAGCATCAAGCGTTGCCAAAACGTCGGCTGCGTACGGTGTTCAGGGATTTTCACGCTTGACGGCTTCGGTGACGGGGCGCAGACCAGTGAACCGCTGACGGCAGCGTCGTTCGACGTCCAGCAACAAACACAAGTGTCAGGACAAGCAGTTTATCTTTGTTTGCCTCGGGCTTTCCCTTCACTGGCCCAATAGCTGCGTGAGTTGAACCAGGAATTCGATGCCGTGGTGGTTGGGGCGTATTCTGTTGGATGGTGCATCGGCTTGCACAAGCTTATGCTATGCGGGACTATTTGCCGTTTGTCCTCGCCGGGTCCTTAGTTAAGGGAGGTTTGCAGAATGAAGATGTCATGCTTGGATGGCCAGGTCTACACTTTCTTGAGTTTTTCGGGCCTGCCCATCGTTCCTGGATGCGACCTGAGCCGGAACTCCTTCGTTCTGCTGCCATACGAAGACAAAGATTGCTGCGAAGAGACATACCTCACTGATCACAGCGGCTGTTTGATCGGAGGGCAATTCAACGGAAGGCCAGGTCACAAACTAACTATCACGACGGAGCGTGTGCGAGAGAGTGAGAGTGAGTAGCCTGGCCAGTATGTCTCACGTGCTTGCCTACTGTGTGATATCAAGTATGTTTCATGTGCTTTTGCCGTGCAGTGAAGCCTGATGCCTGAGGTATCCTGCTGCGTGAATGACAGCTGTGCTTGCGAGCTTGTGCTTCATTGTTCTTCTCCACTTCCGTGCTGGCCCGTGGGCCCGTGACCAAACTTCGCCGCGAGCCATCAAGCTCGACTCAGACGTCGTGATACTAGTATCATGCTCATCTTCACCTTTGCCCGGGAAAGTGGCTGTGCTGGGCCAGTATCTCGAGAATCTGGGTTGGATAGGCTTGGGGAGGGCAAGATCGAACTGGTCGGCCTTGGCGGGATGATAAACCAAAACGGAGAGGGACGGGCGGAACATGCCGAAGAGAACCAGGGCAAGCGTGCTGCTTGTTTAGTGACAGGCCCGAGGCGGGCGCATCACAATCGCGGCCCAAACCCAAGCTGGCCAAGGTGAGGTACACGGGAATCCCAACTTACTCGCTGCATTACCTTGCTGAAGAAAGCGCTTACACTCCTTCGCTGCTACAGCCGCTACGGGCTGCACATCGACGAGGTCGTCTTCGATAGATCCTATGCGAGCAAAGAGTCGACTGACGATGCTGCGCATGGTGGCAAACAGCCACAAAACACTACAGCAGCCACAGCGTTTGAAGAACGCAGCAAGCTGTGGCAAAGACGATGGATTGGACCCGTGAGGGGGATGACGGACGGGATACGAGCCCAGACGCGCAAATCCGTGGTGGCATTGTCTTCTGCGTTGCAGGGCAGAAGCATGCCGGAATGGAACTCAAAAGCCGGAGGCCATAGTGGCAGCTGTGACAGCAAAGTTGTAAGGCAGCAGTTTTCCGGTGCTAACGAGGCAACATGCTGCGAATGTCACTGGCAGGTTCCTTTTCGTATTGGCCCGCATGCTTTGTCGCTGCTAGAAATTCAATGACGAAAAATCAAGGTAAAGTCGAGCTAAGTTGGGTCGTATTGGTTGATGCATTGGTGCCATCCAGCAGTCGTAAGACTTGATTCCTGGGAGGTTCGTTCCTGGCCAAACCTGGGCTCAGGATGTTCATTGCAAGTACAACAAGGTCCACATGCAGTTTTGTTTGTTAGCAGCTCGCCTGCTCCTTTAGTGCGGTTGCAGGAGATTATGGCTTTCCAAGCCAATTGCACGTCCATTCCTGGCAGCTATACAGAGACGTCCCCAGGAATATGTACAGAGGTGCGGACATGTGCTGTGGTTCTGCTAGCAAACCTTGCAAGCGGTATGCGCTCTTTTGGACGTTCTCCTTCCTGCACAGTGTTGTGTTTTGGAACATGTTTGTGGAATTATCGTCGCTATGAGCAGTCAAACAAAGGGAAGGGCACAGTCAAGGGGACTGGTATGTCCATGAGCGACATGTTGACCCGAACAACCTCTGCAGAGAACTGCGCAGGCTGGGTTGCCCTGGCGTGCATCCAAAACGCCTGGCTTTGACGGGGAGAGGTTGAGAGCAGACATTTCTTCCGCTGTGTGTGGTCCTCAGATTCGGACGACTGCCAGGAGATATTGAAAGCATTGGATGCACGGGTTATCGACTTGCTATGCTTTAGGCAAAGACTCTTGCTGGGGGAGCTGGCGATTGTGACAGCTTTGCTCGCCCCCTTTTTGGCGGCCGCATCCAGCTCAGAATCCACGTGCTGCACGGAGGCCAGCATTGAGTAGTTTCGATGCGACTGAGCTGCCAAGATCGCGCTTATGGTTGCGGCCACGGCACGGCAAGATCCGCAGCGGCGAGAGTGGCTTAGGATGTCAACTTCCCGATCCACGTGCTAGACTTGAAGAGACAGGGCCAAGTTCAGCGAGTTGCGAAAGTGCGAGCAGACAAGGTAGTTGAGCACATGCAAACGTTACGAGAGTACGAGGGACTCCATAGGTTTCGCGCTCATGCGGAGGAAAGGTGCAGGGCCCCAGGTGGCGTTCGCATGCCAGCTTGGCCAGCGCAGCCATGGAGTTAGCCAAGCAAGAGTGAAAATGCCGCCTAGCTTCCTGCGAATCCTCCGAATGTGCCCAACAGCCACACCAACCCGTGGGAATCGAAGATCTCCTTCCGACCATTGTCTACACACACTACTACCCAAGACTCTGCTCAACAAATGTTGGCCTTAAGTTGCCCTGATTTCGCTACGTGGATCGTGTTCTTTATTATGGTTGCAGCCTTTGTCTGGTCAATTCCGTTGACGAACGAAGCCTTACAGTAACCTGCCAAACAGTTATATATATATATATATAGCCTCGGCTACATGGGCAACTTCTTAAAGGGACTTTGCGTGTCTAATGCAAGCAAAACTTGGTACTTAGCATGCCAGTGCCAATTGCAGTCGGTCGTGGTTGGGATCGCTGGAATCATGTGCAAAAGGCGGGCCGACGAGCTGGTGACACGGCAGATCACCTGGTAGGTTAAGAGAAACTGCTAAGAACCTCCAGGGCCTCGCATGGCCAGTGATTCCTCCGGCATTTCGGCGCAAACAAGTCAGTTAGGTGATCGCAGGCCCGCCATGGCGCGCTACACGGTGGCCTTCCAGGGCGAAAGGGGTGCGTACAGCTACTTGTGCTTCAACTGTTTGAGGTGCTCCATGTGAGGGTTTGTTTAGACATCTTCCTCAGTCGTAACAAGGTGAGCAAGCAGTTTACGAGCTGCTTGGAAGAACCGGCAACCTGGCCACAATGGCTGGTGCCTTCTGGCTACGGGTACAGAAACTCACTGCGGTCCGGAGAGTCAAGTTGTCCTAAACTGCAAGAAGCCAGGAGAGTGTCAGGAAGATAAGGCTGGGAGGGCAAGGCTTGAGTATGGGTCTTGCGATCAGAACTTCCTGCACGTAGTTCAAGGAACAGTAGCAACAGCTGACTCTAGCATGCATCCTGCCACTTTTGTGCTTGTACAGCAGCGACAGTGGTAGTGCACCCTTCTAGTCCTAATCATTGTCTTCCACTTCGTCTCTTCACATGTCCACTGAAAGGAATACAGTGTACGGGCTATCCTTCCTTCGACGATGCGTTCACCGAGTCTTCACCGCAAAAGCTACAGTAGCCTGTGCTTGATGGAGGCTGACCGAAGACAATCTTCTTTTCCGCTTCTTGGGAAGATTCAGCTGGACATGCTCAGGCAGTCAGCACTGGGAAGATGAATCTTCTCATGGTTCCCATTGAGAACACCCTGGGTGGCACCATACATGCCAACTGCGACCTACAGCTTCAACACAACTTGTTCATCATCGCTTGCTCCTGAGGTGAAAGATTGTGCAAGCCGTCGCGGCCGTTGGGCACCGGCCGTACCGAGGCCGAACACAGCTTGCGAGTCCGGCACGCGCTCCTGGCACTGCCTGGCACCAAGAAGGAGGGGCATCCGCCTGGAGCAGCTACTCGTAGTGATCTAGTGCGCAGAGGAGATAGTAGGGATGGTGCCTATGCATGTTTTGCCAGGAAAGCCTGGCAAAGGCAATCAGCCATCCACAGGCCCTGGCCCAGTGCAGCTCCTACTTGAAGAAGCAAGGCTGGAGCTGTCGAAAGACCTTTGGACATCTGCTAGAGCTAGGCTGAGGAGTCGGAGCGGTTCCTCCTGAGGAATTGTGGCAGAGGCAGCATATGACACTGCCGGCAGCGCAAAGCTTATCGCTGAAGGTGGGGGACCATGCGAAGAAGCTGCGTTGTGGGTCCTTTTACCGGCCATCGGGTAGCCTAAACCCTGGGATCGGTGGAGCTGTATGGGCCGTAGAACTTGTGGAGCACGGTACGGGCTCTTCAATCAACTGTTGAGGTAAATTGGAGGGGGTGGCGGCCATCTGCAGCGAACTGGCAGCAGAGCACTACGGCCTCGAAGTCCTGGACAAAGGAGTCTGAGTAAGCACTTGGAAGTTGCAGCAGCTGGGGACGTCAAGGTTTCTCCGGGTCTTGCCAACAACCCACGTGTTGCCTGTGAGAATTGGGGAATTTCGAGTTTTGCCTTTCTTGTTCAGTGTGTTCAGCGAGATGGTACATTATGCCCGAGGTAGACCATGTTGCTCCACTGCAGAAGCCCACAGCAAGCGCAGGTCAGGCGGCGCCTGACAGGTGCATGCTTGCATCTGCCATGATTTACTCGACAAGCATCCGAGGAATTGAAGACGATGACAACAACTTCACACGGTTTCTGCTGCTGAGATCCGAGCCGGTCTCGGTACCTCCTGGCGTGAAATGCAAGACCTCCGTTGTCTTCTCTTTGGAGAACATGGCAGGCACAGAGAAGGAGAGCGTGGCTCGCGTCCAATAGGTTATGTTTGAGCAAATTCGAGGCACACAACAAGCTTAGATTGCACGCGACACTCACCAGCTCAGCAGCCCCTCGTAACCGAAGATTTAAAGCAAGAGCAGGTAGCAGCAGCATGGCCGCTACATGGTTTCGTGGTGCTTCATCCCACCTCGCCTGGCTGTGGGCGATGCAAAACAGACCACCCACAGTGCTGGCTTGATTTGGTTTCATTGTCCTCGCCAGCTACTTGGGGAGCCAGTCTTGCGAGGGCAATGACATGGTGGCGGTGTTCGCGAAACTACAAATGCAAGATTGATTGGCAAAGAGTCAAGAGTGCCCGTGGTTCGTACTTTGTACAAACGCAGGAACACATGCCAGTAACAGCTAGAAGGGAAAGGAGTCAAGAGTGCTTGGCGGGCAGCTGCCAACAGTGAAATTGCAACTGCAAGCTGGCAGCAAAACTAGCAGCGACGACGGAAGCGGCAACTCTGGCAGTGCCAGCAACCATGGTATGTCTATAGCATCACGTGCTAATGATAATGGGAACAGGCGTGGAACGTTGACGCACGTTGGCACAGGCTCCCTGTTCAAAGCCCTGTCGGTCTTTGCTCTGCGGGAGATCGACCTGACGAAGATCGAGAGCCGGCCTTGCAAGCCGGAGCGCGGGGGTATGCGGGGGTTAATGGGTCTCCGGCAGTCAGAAGTAGAGTTTGCAATCTCGGGCTGCTCGCTGGCTCTATGCGGCAGTGCGGCTGTTGAAGTTGTGGAGCATTCAAGGCAGGATTGGGCGAGTGAACTTCGGATGGCTCACCTCGTGGTTCCCTCCCTCCGCCCTCTCTGTCCGTCTGTCCGTCTGTCTGTCTGTCTGTCTGTCTGTCTGTCTGCTCTCTCTCTCTCTCTCTTTTTGTATGTGTCTTGGCGGTAGCATTCCACGCAACAACCAGCATCTGCTCAATCCAGGGTTTTGAAGCGGTGCAAGCAGTTTAATGCTGTTCAGGACATCATGTCGAGCCTCGAGCGCATGTACATGAGCATGCGTGTGGCCCCACCTGCAAAGCGAGCAAGGACAGAGGGCTCGGCAGCTTAGCCAAGTCCAGTGGCTTCAAAAGACGTGGGGCTTCGGTTTGAAATACGATGTTTTGAAGGGTAGTGCGTCAGGCCGCCAGCTCTGGTGACGATGATAATCTGGATGGCCATTGTTCATTGTTCGCATTGTGCTTGTTCAGGGGGTGTCGGGTCTTTGTCTCTTAAAGGGCGTGAATTTACCAAGGTAGGCGAGGCCCGCTTCCGCTATCTCTTTTACGTGGACTTCCTGGCCAATGCCTGCATCCCAGAAATTGAACTCTCGGCTTTTCGGCTCGGGGTTCGGAAGTCAGTCCCGAGCAGCCCAATCTGCGAAGCAGCTTGGTCAAGCCACCAGAACTGGTAATTAAATTGGATAGTAGCATGTCACCACCCACGGGATCTTGCAGTCTGGATGTGGTCCATGAAGGGACAACTAAGGACTTGCAAACCATGGTTTTGAAGCGATCGTTTCAATTCTTCGAATTCCCGTTTGGAACTTGTTTCGCTGCACTCCATCCCAAAGAGCAGGTGGATGAGCACAATGTCACGAACGCTCTGCGGCACTTGCAGGAGATGACCGTGTTCTTCAGAGTGATGCTAGGACTGCAAAGTTACACCTGTCCTTCCCGATGAGACAAGTGACTACCCTTTTCAGGATGGCCATAGCATGCCCAGCCGTGCAAAGCCACAGACCATCAACCCTCAAACAATTGGGAGGCAACCCTTCCTGAGTCGTGCCATACGCATCCTCACCCAGATTAGAATACTGATTACTGCCTGTGGCTATCTACAACTTTTTGGTCTTCATTGTTTACCCAACCTTCTGCTGTTGTTCGAGCTTGTTGCAGCACCTAGCTCGCTTCATGCCGATGCTGCTTTTTCGAAGTGCCTTCCGCGAAAAGAACACATAAGGCAAACCCCAACCTCCAGGCCACACCATCCAAACCTGAAGCGTGAGAGTCGGAGAATTGCGGCGTTGTGTGCATGAGCCGAAAAGGTGTGGTGTTGCCGACCGAGGTTGGGATCCTTCCCGCAGGGCGGGGCCCTTGTCGGCCTTGCGCACCTGGAAGACCGAATGGTACCCTCACGCGCTTTAGTTCCAGGTAGATTCCAGGGTTGGGGGCCTGTACGTGAAAATTGCTGGACTTGAGCCAAGTGACACTAGCCGGTTGGTGTGTGCGGCCTGAGAGAGCGATTTTTTGAACATGCATGTTCCTTTTGAAGTGATTTTTCCGACCATGGTTCCATGCTTGATGGTCGTGTTGTCGGGTCTCCGGCTCGAGACGCTTCAAGACAGCTGCAGCAGAAACGGGACTAATTAGCAAGTGCAAAGGGAGCTTTTCCGCATCATGACAATTATCACTATCGTCGTGCTTAGATGGGTGCTGCCGGGTTCGTCGTCGTAATTGTTGAGATCTAGTGCTGACAGGGGCCGAAGCAGTTCAGGAGCAGCTTTATCATCGGTGGGTTTACAGTTGTCCAGGGTTCAAGCCTCAAGGCTTCGCGGGGCTCGGAGTCGGGTAGCTTACTGCTCGTTTTTGTGTGGGTTTTTGCCAGCATGTTTCGGAACTGAGTCTTTGATAGAAGCTGCCGAGGCTGTCGAATTGTCGTGCATTTTGCTAGCACTGTCGGCTGCCAGTACCAGAATCGGGAACTCGAGCCCGCTGGACAAGAGCCAAGAGTAAGACCCTGAAACTGCGAAGCTCTTGAGCCAAAGAATCTCTTCAGTTACGTACTGGTCTTGACAGGTTCCGATTTTCCGTCCAGCCACCGAGCCAAAGAAACGCATCGGGGTCCTGGGCTTCGGCACCTTCGGTCAATTCATCGCCGCCTGCCGTATGGAGTAAAGGTGTTGGGAGATCAGTTGCGGGTGTCGGGTCGGGTGTGTCGAAGTCTTGGGCTCGGCGTGCCAGACGGCACTCTTTCTCCGGGTTTCTTCACTTCAGTTTTTGCTCTCCAGCCAGGCTTCCAAGAGCAAAGCACGCTGCCTTTCATTCCGAGGGAAAGAAGCTAGCGCTGGACCACTTCGTGTTTGCAGCCAGCCGGGAGAATTACTCCGAAATAGCAGCAAATTGCGGTGTGAATCTCGGCCTGAATAAGACCTCTCCAACAGGAGACGACCGCACGAGCTGCTCATATTCCTCCCTTGTCTCACAAGTCAGTCACTTCCAAAGGACCTGGTGTGATTCAATAGACCAACTCTTGGATCAGCAGCTTGACGTGCTAATTATTTCTGCCACTCAGCTGCAAACTGTGCCATCCAAGGACAATTTCCCATGCTAGCTCTCTTCCAGCAACGGTAGTGGATGGTGAATCGCGAAGGTGAGCATTCTCAGCTTTGAGGGCATGGTGCGGCGGATTTGTAACTGCATTGCCTCCAAAGACGCTGCTCATGGGCGCGGGCCTCGGGTAATCTATCTGTTTCGAGGACCTGACCAGGGTAGAACAGCTGTCGTTGAGTGTTGCCGTCAAACCTCTTCCTTCGATCCTTGTCTAAAGCATGATTTTTATTAACATGTAGTGTGGAGAAGCTTGGGTCTGAGGGGAAGGCCATATAGCCTGTTACTACTACTCCTCTTGCTGCTGCTGCTGCTGCTTCAGTACCTTGAGTTGGTACGAGTACCAGTACAAGAACTAGAACCAGTACTGGCAGTAGCTGGGTCTTGCGCATGGGCCAACGGTTTCGGGTTTAGAGGGTCGCCAACGCGGGACTGGCGGAAGTCGGACGGAAGCTCGGCTAAGCTGAGAGTTCAAGTCCTTGGCCCATCCTTGCCTCGGCCTCTGCCTTTTTGCACGATCCAGAACTTTCATGGCCTGTTGATCTCAAGTTCTCGCCATAGTGCTCAACATAACCCTAAACCGTTCTCCTTCTTTGCGTGCTGCTGCTGCTGCTGCTGCCAACGCTGGAACCACATATAAAAGCAGCCCGACTGCGCACAGCCTGTGAGTGTCGGGCTGGAACCTGCGAGAAGTTTTCGTGGCCTTGCCACGGGAAGAACTGTCGCTTGCACTGAGTTGGGGCTTCCAAGTGGATTGCAAGTGGATATGTCGGCATGGAGTTCGATGCTTGGGTCGAACTGTGCTGTGCGAGAGTGGAGCCCATGGAAGCTCTGAACTGCATCGGGCTCCCGTACCATTGCAAGAGTCCTGTTTTTTGTGCATGGTGTGCTGCCCATGGATGGCAGTGATGTCATGTTTCGCATGTCACCGACCTTATAGTGTAGTACTGATCCTTGTGGCCGAAATCGGCCTAAAGTAACTTTAGTCTCGTGGTTTGGGGCCAGGCTATTTGGCTGGAACAAGGGTTACAGAGGTGCTTGGCGCCTGTTCGCAACAGCCTCCGTGAGAGCCTGTGTCCTTTCTTCGATCAAAACTCGGGGTTTGACGGTTTGAGGGGGGCTGGTCCTGCCCTGCCCTGCTGCCCCTGCTCTGCCCTGCAAAGGAGGCCGAACAGCAGGGACGTTTTGTTGTGCATGGTTATCGAATATTCGGCAACGCCCAGCTGTTCATGGCAACAGTAGGTCTTTGAGACCCTAGGGTTTGCCCATCATCTACTTGGTTGAGCTGGCATGGGACCAGGGAAGCTGAAGAAGCTTTCGCTTGAGGTCTCGGAAGATGCTGGTGGTAGACGTACTCTCAGTGAAGGCACGGACTCTGCAGCCCGACTGTCCTGAGTCAATCTGCCTGTGATTGCTCGATCTCGCACTGACTCCTCACAAAGCAGGTGCATGCAAAGACAACCCTGGCGGCCCTTCTGCCAGAAACGTGCGAAGCTAGGCTGTTATTGCAGGGGCAAGCTCAAACATGCGTCTTTGGGCCTGAGCACGTGCTTGGAGATCACCCTGAACCTTTAAGCAGCTGATACCTTTCCAGCCACACCTCAGGACATTTTGTGCACGCATCCGATGTTCGGTCCACAAAGTGGCAAGCACGGCTGGAGCGGGTTGCCCTTCGTTTTCGAGCGGGTGAGGCTCAACAATGCCAGGTGCCTGGGGCCTCCTTTCGGTAGCACGGTTACGGCAGTGATTTTTTGGTTAGTGGTGTCGGCGTGGCAGCAAGCAACGGACGATGCAGGATTTCTACGGATATTGTTTCAATGATGTCCAGTGTGTTCTCGGAAGGAGGTGTGAGGAGTTTCTCAAGTGGTGGACAAGTCAAGGATGCCGGATGGTGGCTGCTCGTATGCACAGCACACAGTGTCTTGGGGTTTGTGGGCAGGAGCGAAGTCGAGATCACAAGTTGGTTCGAGCTCACCAAAATTGTGAGCCAGATTCGTGACCCTGCCGAACTTCAAGTCGTCAGAAGAGCCCAGTAGTCTTGAAGCATGGCCATCAGAGCGCCAGACACGATCGAGGGTAAGAGGTATGTGCTTAGACGCTGTAGCTCTTCAGTAGCAGTCCTTAATCAGAGTGCTAGCTCGGCAACGGTTTTTAGTGTTCTTTCGCGTGATCCCACTCTTGGACCCCACTACCCTTATGGTATGGATTGATTCAATGCAACAGAGTTTCCTCTTTCTAGGAATTCGGGTGGGTGGTTGGCAGCACTTGTGGATGATCTCAGTCTCGTGTTGAAGCCTTGGCAGTTGTGAGCCTCCTGCGTCACTTCTTTCCGCATGCGGAACACAACGTGTGGCACAAAGCCTGCAAGGTCAGGAATCAAGTCGTTTTGTTGGCTCGATGGAGCTTTGCAAAGAAGCGTTACATCAATGTAGATGGTTTTCGGAGCGGAAAGCAACAGCAGAGTCCGACTTCAACCCGGCAGGTTAGAAGCCTGAACACTGCGGCATACAGCCTTCAGGGCATTGAGCATGTATGACTGGTGCTCAGTATGCACCACGAGGATTGGTATGCAAGAAGACTTTTGGCGACAACGATTGTGTCATGGTGCTTGCAAGGTTGATTCGTGAAGACTTTTTGCAACCCCCCGTGCCCTCGTTTTCCAGCAGAGTCCTTCCTTACCGGTGCATCAAGCAGAGGATATGACGTGCGAGCTGCATGACGAAGTGGCCGCCGGCAGCCAATTCGTCACGCATTTCACTGGCCGGGTGCTGGAACGCCTTGCCTTAAGCAGCGGGCCCATCAACACGAAGGCGCTCAGTTCTCTAAGTTATCTTCAGGTGCATGTGTATTGGACAGTCTTTTGCATCGGTGGTGCTGGATCGTGGATGCTTCTGATCTAAGATGTTTCATATCCGGAGTGCTGATGCGAACCGCTGTGCTCAGGGTTTCGAGTCGTTGCTGCAGCTGGTGGAGAACACATCCAGAGACAGCTTTGACCTCTTCTATGCGTCGCATGGCGGGATCGGATCCTTAAAACCCTCCACTTGAGCGACAGAATGTTGTCGCAAGTTGGGATTCTGAGGCTATTCAAGTTCAACCCGAACTCATCCCAACAGCTGAGTTCGATGGAACAGGCCGTGCAGGACCTGCTCGTGAAAGATTGGACTCCATCTTTGTCTCTCTGCCCCAACGCAGCCCCTACACATGCGAACTCACTCAAGAGGGATGTCTCTCATTGCGAACTAACTTGTTAGCACGAAAAAGCTGTCATGGCGGTCAAGACGAGAAGCCCCCAAGACTTCGAGGACGTCTCTGAGCAGCTTCGAAAATGTAAGGGATGAGCCTCGCTCGGCCGTCGCCTCAGCTGGGGCAGCAGCAGGGCCTGCGTTTTGCACCGCCCTGACGATGTGGAAGCACATGGCCCGGCCACATGCACAGGAGGCTTGCTAGACTTCGGGAGTGCAAGGCCCGACATCCGCTCCGGGTGTAGAGATCCTTGAGCCTTGCGTTCCCGAGGTCACCGTGGGTGACACCTTGCAGATCCCTGGCAAGTTCTCCGATTAGAAAAGCCGGGCGTGGGAATACTCGTTTCCTGCATCTGCGTACACTGGCCCTGAAGCTACCTGTGAACCTCTGGAGGTGCCTCATGTCAAGGTATTGAAGGCTTTAGACCTCATAGTGCGCCCTGCTCTTGCAGCATTTTTGCTCGTGTTCCTGTGCATTCATCCCATCCCAGCCATGCTGCGCATCCTGAGCGCAGTTGCTACCGGCATCGGCTTGTTCACCGACAAGTACATGCTCGGCGCGACGAATTTCGTTGAGCATTATGCAAATGAGTTTCACGCAAGCGACTCTCAGAAGGATTTCGTGAAAGCTGCCATGTACGCAGGAAGCATGTTAGGCATGATTGTCATGGGTCCCGTCTCGGACTACATTGGACGCCGCTTGGGTCTTATACTGTGCTCCGCTATCACCTTGCTCGGTGCTCTGCTTTCTGCTCTGGCCTGGAGTGAGAATGCACTTATCGCGGCCCGCATCATCACCGGACTCGGCATGGGTGGGGAATATCCGCTCGCATCTGCACACTCTGCGGAGTCGTCCGAAAAGACGAGCGATGGTGCTCGAAACGTTGCCCTACTGTACCTGTTCGGAAGCGGCTTTGGCCAGGCATTGTGCCCATTGGTAACGTACATCATGGACGTGTCCGGTGTTCCTCACGAGCTGCTTTGGCGATGGATTTTTGGAATCGGCGTCATTCTTTCAGCCTCAGGCCTGGCCTTGCGATACCTAACCACAGAAAACAGCCAGAAGTTCGTGGAAAGCACGACAGCAGAACCGAAGCATCAGGACAGGATGTGGACCATTCTGTCACCGTACTGGCGCGCACTTCTCGGCACTGCCGGGTGCTGGTTCTTCTTTGATATCGTCGAGTACGGTCTGAAGCAGAACGACGCAGCGATCTTTAGTGAGAATGTCTCTGCCAACTATGCCGAGAGCATCCTCCAGGTTTTGTGGAGCCGTCTCCTAGTGATCCCATCGCTGATTTTCGCACCGTGGTGTTTGACCAGGATCTCCAGCAAAAGCGTTCAGCTCATTGGCTTCATCGGATGTGCGGTGGCCAACCTGATCTTGGCAGTTGCCTACGAAGAGTTGCGTGAGCTCTCCACCCTCTTTTTCGTGTTCTACGTTTTTCAGCTATCTTTCCAGAGCCTTCCTGGCATCACCACAATGGCAATTTCTGCAGAGATTTACCCCAGCATGGTCCGCGGGACGGCCGCCGGCATCAGCGCAGCCTGCGGGAAACTCGGAGCCACAGTTGGTTCCTACATATTGTCTGAGCTGAAAAACCTCGGGGAAATCAGAGGAATCTTTTGGAGTGTCTGCGCCACCTCAGCTTTGGCCATGTTGCTTACAGCCCTCAGCACCCCTTACTACAACGGGAGCACGCTTGACTCGGCTGACAAGCTAGCTCGCGACGGAAAACCGAGGCAGGCCGTGAAGATGCTCTACAGCCGTCCGATCGCAAGCCAAGATCGGACGAAGGGTGTCGAATATGTAGCCGATGACTTGTCTGACGGGGCTGACGAGCAGAGAGCGTGAAACATGGGAACCACAGGAATTTTTAATTGGCAAGGGCGCTCTTGCTCTCTGCAGAGCGACGTTCCCTGCTGTGTTTTCTACTTCCCAAACCGTCGGCGCGATCTGCTTCTGTGCCGCTGCCGGGTTGTCTTTGGGCCTTGCAAAAAGCAAGTGCCGCAACAAGATTTTGCAAATACCCTCTTGCCAATCTTCTAATTCGAGATCCTCCCACTGCAAGTAATTTTGGGAGATGGTGGTCAGGCACGAGACAATAGTAAACCACTGCGTGAGCACAGCAGGGCTGGGACTGGGAATGGCCAAGTGCCCGCAGGTCGCACGGGAACACCTGCTCAAAGTTCAAATTGATTTTGTGGCAAGGACGATAGCTGCATGTCCCCCTAGGTCAGCAGCTTTGCCGGGGCATCATGCCGCATGTGAGACGTCGGTGGTCGTCAGCCCTGACAGCAACTATCAGAGCAGAGCCATCAAGATAGACCTCAGGCGACTACAAGCACAGGAGAGGCAGTTCCAGGCAGGCATGAACCAGGCGTTTGGCTGGGAACAGAAGATAAGCAGAGGTCGTTGTAGTGGCAGCGGTAGGGGTGGCCGCCATGGCAGTGTTCGCAGCAGAAGATGCCGTGGCAGCAGCATCAGGAGCATGAGAGGCAGCTGTGGAAGCAGTCGTGATCGTCGTTGCAGTCGTAGCAGTAACAGGTAACAGCAGCAGCAGCAGGACGAGGAGGAGGGGGAGGAGTAGTAGTAGTAGTAGTCGTAGTAGTAGTAGTAGCCGTTGGAAGCAACAGTAAATGCCCGGGACGAAAGTGTCGAGCTACAGGCTCCATCAATCTGGCATACGGATGTTACAGGCCTTGGGGGGTAGCGGAGCGCCTCAAAGTCTCGTTTCCCTTGCACTGGGCCGGTTCTGCACAGGTTTGAAACATGGAGGAGACCCCAAGGTCCACTTGCTGTTCAAGCTAGTGGGTCGAATTATCGGCCCGCCGCAGTAGTAGCAGTAGTAGTCGTCGTCGTCATTTCTGCTGTAACAGTAGGAGTAGCTGCAGTAGTCGTGGTAGTACCACGAGGGTCTCCTGTTGTTCGGGATGTCAGATGGCATTGCCGGTACCCCTGCAGTGCTGCTCATGCCCATGGCAACGGAGATGGAAGTGGCATCATGTGGCAACGGATAACGAGCGACGATGAGGGTGTTGCCCAGTGAATATTCGCGCTGTAGTGTTGAAATGCCGGCGAGCATTGCTGCAGTCAGGAATGAACGCAACAAAAACCAGCACTGTATGCAACATTGACGAGAGCACATGCCTGTTATAATTGACCATTAAACAAGCCAGAAATCCAAGGGTAATGGTTCCTAATCCTGCGAAACTTCTCATGTTCCTTGTCAGGCAAAACCGCCTAGAAAGGAAAGATGGTGATTGTGACGAAAGTAGCAAACATCAAAGACGTCATAGTTCATGACGATTCTACTCAGAGACTGCTCAAAGGAATTGTGCTGCCGATGATGATGACGCTCGTGAGGGTCATGCTTGCGCAGTGACTCATGCTGCTGATCATGTCAGTGCTTCGATGCTTAGAGTTTCCAAAGCGTTGACAACGAATGAAACATAGCCATGATATTGTGCTATGGTGTTTGCAAATCTGTCGTTGGGTTAATGCGGCCGAGCTGATTAGTCTCAGTTTCTGGCTGTGTCCCGTCTCCATTCTGGCTCCAGAATGCCGAAGGCAGATTCAATTTGGTTCGACCCAGACATAGACAACCCCGGAACAGTGATGACAACCGAGCTAGGCAGAATCAGCCCTGCTAGCAGTCGGTGCCCTCTTGCAATGTCGCATGGTGTGGACGATGGTCAGCTTGAAGTGCTTTTTGTCTTTCCAGGCATTCGGAAGCACTCTAGACTCTAGTCTCCAGGGTGGGGACCTGTTGTAGAGTAACGATGCCGTCGGCGATTTGTCGCGGTTTCTTCCATCCTCCCCGACAGCCAAGCCCGATCTGTGCCAAAATGACTCCTATGGGGACGGTGACCTGAGGTTTTTTCAGCGATGCATCGAAGAAATGTCCTCCGAGTCGACTCGGAAGGAGCTTGCGAATTCCGACTCCGGAAGGACTCCTGCCAAGTGCGTCCAGCTTTTCAGTCGCAGAAGGGCTTGCGAACTTGGGACAGTTCAGTCTCTCAGGGATGCCCTGCGCAAGTTCCGCACGTAACCGCTCCCTTGGCCAGGCCGGGAAAGCGCCTTACGGAGCTCCAGGCTGGGCTGGGGCGAAAGCCTCGCAGCCCTTGGCCAGGAAGCCTTTTGCGGTGTTTCCCCTTGGATTGCTACTTTTTTTTTTCTGACTCCTCCCGGGCACTATCCACAAGCCTCCCCGCAAGCCTGAAGCCCGACAGCCATCCCCAGGACTTGCAAGAGCTGAACCCACACCTTGATGTAGAGTGCGGGCTGTCTGTCCAGAGCCCTGGAGCATTGAAACTCAGGAAAACGAAGTGCAGGCTGTTCCCAAGATCAGTGTCGAAGCTTTCAGAACCTAGAGGGGCACTCGTCAAACACACCCGGTACAGTCTTGTCAGGCCAAGATTTGGGAGGAGCTCGGGATCTCTGTCGTCGATGGCCGTGCCGCGGTGGCGCGCATCCCGGCATCGGGCCAGGCAGACGTAATGGAAGAGGAAGAGGTTTGGATTTGTTGCTGACCCGCAGCACGGAACTAATCCGACTAGCACGCCACCCGGTCGTAGCAAACCGTAAGCTTCTAAGCGTCACTTTTTTCTGCAGTATGAGCAGAGTATCAGGATCTCTGCGACAGGCACCTGCATCCTTGCAGTACTAAACCCCAGCCTTCAAGAAACCGAAACTTATCCTGGTCATTGCCAGGCCACCAGCGCTGTGGCCAAGTCGTCCTTGCCCGCGTTGAAGCAGGTTCCGCACCTGGATGGATTGGCATGGCGAGGTCAGGGGTAGCAGTGCGGGGATCGCGGTTGTTCCGTGGCCCAGTCGGTACTGTAAGCCTAAGCATGAAGAGCAAGTCGTCGAAGGATGTCGAGCCGTAAGCCACCAGCACCCAACAAACCGTCGGATCTCAACCAGCAGCACCTAGCTTTGTACTAAGACGTGCTAGCTGGGTGAGTTCGCTTTTGCACTTTTGGGAAACTAACACCCCCTAGCGCCCTAGAGACTAGAACTGAAAGTTTACACTGTGGGGCTCAAGAACTCAGCAACTAAGAAGGCTTTCAGCCCAGGCCCTTCAACATGGAAAGGGTTTCGCAAGGAAAGTATGAGGTTATGGGCTCGGGAGTTACGTGCGTAACCTAGTTGATTAGTTTTTCACTCATTCGGACCGCCATCATTGTAGTTGCTTTTGGGAGTGTGCGCGCCCCGGGCATCGTGCTTGCTGCTCAGGTGACGGGGTGGTCGTGCTCCGATGTTTTGAGTTGAGGCAGTTCCGGTTCTTGGGCACTCAAGGACAACCCACCCTAGGGCCCCTGCCGGAATGGAACCTTAGCCTGACCAGCCGAGGCTTTTGTGGCCGCCACGGATGCCGTGTATCTGCAGTGCCTGGAAGACAGGCGGCCGGATGTCCTTCAGAAGGAGGGCAGGATGTCCCGGATTCTCGGAACCACGGGAGCATCTACAGTTCACCAGAATCCCGTCCCGCGGCCAGCTCCCAGTCGGTGCTCATTACCGAGGAGTGTTGTTCTGGAGTTCTTGGATGCCTGCAATGTGAAGATGGACACGGCCGAGGCGCATGTTTTACTCACGAACCTGTTGGCAGGTGGGCTTAAGGGTCTTCGTGCGAGGTGCAAGACAAGCTGCGGCGCAAGATCCACGAAACAGGGGCTTTGCCCGAGACCGTAACCTGGCAGATTGCAGGACCATGGATTCGTTATTGTTTTGTGACCACGGCTTTGGGGTTCTTGCTTCTGTTCGAGGTGGCGAATGAAGTGCATGACGAGGTCATGGAACTTCTGGGCTTTGAGAGTGCGTGCCCTGAGATGATTCTTTGCTTTCGGCCTTGAAAACAGAACGTGTAGCCTTCGTGGAGCTCGTTCGTGGTGCCACTTCGCGGCTTTGCTGTAGGCTGCTGAGCTACTGCTTCCTTCTTTACTTCATTACAGAGGGTGTAGTGACGGTGGTGGACTTCAGCTCGGAAGTGGCGCTTGGAGTGAGCCCTTGCCCTCGGTGTCGCAGGTACGGGCATTCTTGCTTTGCTGAATTTGGCACTTCACAGGCCACGGGACAAGCGAAGCCAAAGCCCTGAGGACATAAGCACCCGCAAAGCGAAGTAATGCTGCGAAGGAGTTTGCTCATGACAAAGACGTTGCCACAGCCTATGCGAGATGGCGTGGGCATTCCAGCAGCCTGCCTCCATGTTGTCCAAGGAGTTCAAAGAACTCCAGCGCTTATCCACGGTTTGGAGATTGCCACATTCAGGGTTTCGACATTCAACTGCTTTTTCGCTTCGGGGGTATCTTGCTCCGACGCATTTTGGCGCCCTCAGGGTGATAGCTGATGTAGCCGTCCAGGTTTAGGCTCAAGGCTCAGGTTCTGAATCGCTGGATACGGATAGTCAAGTTGTTGAACTAGACGGCCGCCGGCTCGCCACTTCAGCGACAAAGCAGCAAGCACTTGAAGTGTTCGTGTCGTGCAAGGTGAGATAATGTTCAAGCTTCTCTACGATCACTGGCACAGTGGTGGTGTGCTGCACGTCGACGCAGTTGTGCTGCTCGCCTTGCTAAAGGTGAATCTCAAACAGCATCGGAAGGTTTCCGGTTCAGGAAGTTTTCGATCGGGTCTCGGAAATTGAGGAGAATGTCCAGTCTGTGTCGGTGTGCTGTTTGAGATATGTGTGTGGCTTTTGAAGTTGGGGATGTTGGGGCGATTGTGCCGTAGGCCTGATTCGATACGGCGTGACGTGGCAAACTGACTCTCGTGGAATTCATTCGAGACCGCGACAGCCTGTCCAACAAAAACGGGAAAGCCTCAAGACATGATGGTGATGATGCAGATGCTGCCGATGAATATGCTGCGCTTGTACACTGATGATGATAATGACACTGCTGTGGATGAGGGTGACAATCGTGGCAGTACACTGTTGTTTTGCTTTGCTTCAGTCTGTAAGATTTGCGCAGTGCTGATTGCACATGCTAAACTTGTGCGCTGGTGATGATAATGACACTTCTTTGGTAGAGGGTGATGGCAGTGCCACTTCTTTGGTAGAGGGTGATGGCAATGCCTGTGACGATTGCAGAGGATGTTGATGCTGCTGCTATGTTGATGATGGCGACGGGGTCGCTGGTGGTGATTGGTGATGCTAGCTGCTAGCAGTTGACAGAGGGGTGGACAGTGTCCCTTGATGCCCGGTCGGAGGAAACACCAGATGATGAAGCACGGGGCGAAGGTCCAGTTGAATCAGATGTCGACTGACGAGCGCCGGCAGCTGCTGGAGTCCAGCATCGACAAGGCACGGGTGCCCCCAAAGGCTCTAAGGGCGACGGAGGCAAGCAATGAAGCTCTCGTTTCAAGATCTCCAGAAAAGCCAGCCCATAGCTGGGACATGCGAAGGTCAACGTCTTCCACAAACTGCCGCACGATGGGCGACAACGCTACTTGGAGCGGCTGGATGACCAGGCGTGCACGCACGGGGTGCGTTGTCGACGTGCCGGCGCAGGCTTCACGTGTCGAGGTCGTCGGAGCTTCTGAGAGGTGCATGCTTTGATCTGTAGACGAGAGGTCTTGCTTAAATACCTCGAATTCAATTGCTTCTATGGGAGTTACTCCTGTGAGGAGATGCTGGAGTTCACGAAAGCTGAGATCTTAGTGGCCACCTTGGTGCAAAGTCGCCACCATACGCACCGGACGGAGTGAGGATCGCCCCCGCACAAAAAACCATGCCAGACTGATCGGGGGTGCCAAACTAGAGCAGTGTCAGGCTCTCGGAAGTGAGCTTTGCACCCGTGTGAGCCAATCCCACTGGATGACAGGCCCAACGTGTTTCTGCCATATGTTACAGTACCTGTGGAGCTACAGCAGTGCCGAAGTCCATGCGACTCTTTCGTTGTGACTTTTGGGCTCCCTCCGAGTCTTGTTCTCGGCACTTTCTGCATGCAGTCATCGCATTTACACCCGTATTAAATCTGTTTGAAAGCGTGTGTAGCTGTACGAAGCTATACTTGGGGTCCGCGACCAGAAACGGCTCAGCCTCTGTCAGGTGTCGCTGTGATCTGACCTGCCGCGCGAGCTACCGAGCAGTTTGCCCCTCAGCGCCGGAAGTGCAAACATCAAGCCCAGAATCCGATCCAAGAAGCCCGGATTTTGGTGAGAGTTTCACATTCCCCCGGCAGGTATTGTAGAGCATCATCTCGTGCTCGCAGAGATCCGTTGTTGTTGCTAGTTTGTGGTTTCCATGTGTTTCCAGCTTTGATTATCATCAAGCATGGTTTTAAGCCTGCTTGCGAGATATAACGTGTCTAACGCCTCGGGAACTTGCAGCACACCCATGATCATGAGGCTTTGTGCTTCTTGCTGGATGCTCGGATAAACGACAAGCTATGCATCATGTGTGGAATAAGAACCTGTATTCCTAGTTCTCCCTCTCGGTGCCCCAGTCTTATCTGAGACCCATTCGCTACCGCCGATTTGTTGTCAACTTCGGCTGTGACGCAACGAATCTGGCGTCAAGACTGCTCGTGCTAACGTGGCTCGAAACTTACCGCCCTTTCGTATGAGCCGTGGTGCGGTACCTCCATGAACTCCCATCAAAACCACATTTCTTGCTTTCCAAGGTGCATTGGCCTATGATTTGAAATCCCGAAGTATTAGCCATGGAAATCCCAGCGCAGGATGTCGGCAACAAGGCAACCAGGGCAAAGATCAAAGCACTGGTCACTCGCGAAAAGCAGAACCAACAGTGGACGTGCTTATTTTAGTGTTTTCAAAAACCCCTACTGTAACGCCACTTTAACCCCAGACAGAGAGGCACGAAAGCTCTTTCTTGTGCCATGGGCTCACGATGTGCACAGCGTCTCCTCAATGGCGAACAGGCGCCCTCCTTGGAGGCACAGCCTTCATCGATTTTGCTGTGATATTGCAGCTTTGGGGCCGTTTGGCCATGGATGGTTTGGGTGAGAATGAAAAGGCTTTTTATGTCACGGGGCCAAGTTCCCGAAATCTTTGAGGCCTCAGCCTTGCTCCAGGACTGCTGCCACCTGGAAGGGGAGACGCCAATCGAGATCAGGCAGGGATCCCGTAGTGGGAAACCCGGAGCTTCAGAGGAGCTAGTGAGCCAGTTGGGGCTGACACCGAAGTCTCAGGGTGGCTCTTTCCCACTGTCGGGACTTGGATGCCCTGGGGCGACTGTCCTGGGTTGCTCTTTCGTCTTCCAAGCGCTCTAGCCGAGTTAGACAGAGAGCCCCCAAGCGCAGGATTCCTCGACAACCCGGCCAGGGCCCTGATGTGCAACCTCAGTGCAAAGGGGGGGCATAGAGAGACAAAAGACTGAAGCAGTTTTGGGGGTCTTCAATGATGTGTGCTGACTTTGGGTTTCATGCATCCTTATCACAAGGAGAGCTCCTTTCAACATTACGATGGTTGTCAAACAGCAGTCGCTGTCATCCATGTCCTCGCTGCAGCTGTGCCTTGACACCTGCAGGTTTGCACGAAAGCCTCGAAGCTCCCTTCACACCGAGGATGGTACGCAGGACAGCGGTGGCAGAGCCCACCGTTGGTCATGCCCCATATGCGGGTGGCCCACCGGGTCGCCACATGGCTGTGTGGGCTGGAAACGGTCCCGTAAATCCCACGTGAATCTAATTGTTGCAAGGCTGCGAGGCTGACTGTTCTTCTTGTCTGCAGCCCAGTGGCTGGCAAACTCCTGTTGTAGGGCAGGAAGCATGCCCCGAACCGTTGGGGCCAGAAGCCCCTGCAACCTAAGTACCCGACTAGTGAGCTTGGAAGTGTTAACGGTCTTGCTTGGCTTTCTGGGAGGTGCTTTTGGGAGAGAGGATGTGTTGAGATTTAAGATATGTAGGTTGGCGCCAGCCCAGATGCCCCAACCCAGCTGACCGAGTCGAACTGCCTAAGCCCGAGCTTGTGGAAGAGCGTGAAGCATCTAAGGGCCCGCTTCCGGAAGCCGAGAAGCCGCCGATGCCGATTGGTGCACCGCTCATGATTACAATGGTGAAACTTCGAAATGCACGAGATCATGTCTCGAATACACCTAGAGAAAATGACCGAGTACTAACACTGGTACCAGTACCCCCACCACCATGACGACGACCACGGCTTCCGCCATTGAAACTGGCACTTCCACTGCCACTACCACTGCTGCCACTGCTGCTGCCGCTGCTGCAGCTGCTGCTGCTCCTACCACTACTACTGCTGCTACTACTACTACCACTACCACTACCACTACCACTACCACTACCAGTACCGCTACCAGTACCACTACCACTACCACTACCACTACCACTACCACTACCACTACCACTACTACTACCACTACCACTACTACTACTACTACTACTACTACTACTACTACTACTGCTGCTACGGGATCGTTCGACGTGCCTGGGTCCGGACGATACTTTCGTGCTGGCCTCCCTGAGGCTATTGATTCTCCTGATTTCTGTCATGTGCACTCTTGCTTTGCAATTCTGGGGCGGGCCCAATAAGACACTGTCAGTCTGGGCTCCAATGCTTGAAGTCGACAATTCGACGACTGCAGCAACAATTAGTAATTCATTACAAAGGCCATGCTGCAAAGCATGATAGTGTGCACCAATAAGTCGGCATTTTGCCACAATGTCGAAAGTGCAAAGGGGTAGTCGTAAAGAACAGGTCCCCAGTGCAAGCTGGAAGGGGATAGTACAGCTTGATCCCTGGGCAGAATTCATCATCATGTCATCTATGACCTTGCTTCGCGAACATTCAGCCAGGCAAGAGGCAACAAAAATACCGCTACTACTACTACTACTACGACGACTACTACTACCAGTGCCGCCACCAATCACGACGACGACTACTACTGCACTAGCCATGCAGGCGGCAAAAAATACTCCACTACTCTAGCTAAACTCTGCGTACTCGTTTCACACGTTGACTTTTTTTATGACGATGGGTCGTTTACGATCACCTAAGCCGGGCTCGTTCCAGATGCACTTCCAACGTAGCCTCACGTACAAACCAACCCTGCCCTGGGAGCCCTCAGTCAGTCGAACCAGGAGCAATTGTTTACGAGGCGTGCCTGGTCGCTTTCCGCCCCCCGCAGCGCCGGCGCCGTCCCGCCGGCCTTGCGACGAGCATGGCTTCGACGGTGTGGCCTGGGTAGCAATGGCACTCCAAGCAAAAAGGAGTAACTTCCTTGGATCGCGGAGACCGTCCAAGGACGCCTTCGCAGAGCCGCCCGACTCTTCGCGATGGAGTCCTGGACGCTTGCTGAGACTCTCGGGGTGTTTTGGGCTTGGGCTCCGAGCAGTCGTGCATGCTGGGGGTTGGCTCCTCGCTTAGTGTCGTCCTTGTTTTGGGAGATCGGGTCATAAGAGGCCGAGACTCCCGGATCCATAGCAACAGAGCCGGGCCCCGGAGCCATAGAAAGCCCCATAGGGCTGATGCACGACCCGGCGGTGCTCCAGATGCTCAACACCTGGACAGCTGAGCCGGGCCATTTCCCAGCTACTAGACGGCAAGTTGGTTGGCAGAGATTCTGGCATGCTTGCACGACTCTTTTGTAGTCTTTTGTATCCTGAAAATACTGCAAGCTGTCATCGATCATGTTGTTTGGTCTACGATGCTTATTCAGAAGTACCGTCCCCAGCCCGTGATTCAAAGCAAGAACAACTTCGGTGTGTGCAACCGTAATTGGTGAACATGGAATGCATGTCTCAAGCAAGGAGATCGTCCGCGTGCAAAGGCAAAGCCCAGGTCGTGCTTTTCTCTGTCGGGGGTGGAAGCCCGGGTATTCTGAGTTTGGGATAAGCAAGCCCTGAAGCAGTTAACATCCCTTCCCTGTCATCCAGTCTGTCTGAGCACACTGCGTTTGCAAGCATGACGGCCCAATGGCTGTCTGTTTGTGCTGCTAGTGTCTGCCGGTTCAGGCCTCCGTGAGGGCGACGAAGAAGAGGGCGAGGACGACGAGGGTTTGCTGCAGGTGCAGAAGATGCCTTGTTGACTAACTTGCCGGAACAATGGTGTATCTATCATGAGCCCGAAGTTGTTGGGCCGCATGGCGGCTCGTAGGTTCAGAACAGCTGAGACAGATCTGTGAACGTGGTACCGAAATCTCTTTTCAGGTCTTGGGCTAGTAGGTCGGCCACATCAATGCCGTGAAAACAAAAACCAAGTAAGTGTCAAATTCCTTGCGGTGTTGGAATGTACATCGGTAGTGCAGAGCTGGACAGCATTGTCCTGCTCTTGTCGACCAGCCCTCGGCAAACAACTCCCAATTGCCCCTGCGGCCGCAATGCATTCGTGCTAGATATCTGCCCTCTTCGAATTTCTTCGCAGTTCGGCCGAGGTGCCAATGTGACATGCCGCAGGTTCGGGCTACGAGGCGTGAACACGTGCGAAGAGAGACATGACAAGCGCCAGAAGCGGCTTCCGAAGCATTGCCGCCGTGATTGCGATTACGATTGTTTACGAATTTTTGTAATGGTTATGGCCCGTTTACGGCGTTTGCTCTTGTCACGGGCATGACACGGTAGAACCATGTCGCACTTATATCAAGTCGGGTGCTACCCTTACGTTTGCTGCCAGCCATCTAAGCGTGGATGTGGCTGTTGTTGTCGTTGCATCGATAGCCTGGGGAACACTCTTTGTTACTGTTAGTGCCGCCCAAATAGTTGTCACCTATGTTCACACATCGCAATCATGCGCGCCGAAGTGGATGCACTCGGTGGCGGGTTTTCAAGCAGTGGTTTCACCCAGTAGGGCCGATCGCATCCGGGATCGAAAAAGATGCCGCAGATTGGTTGGACAGGGTTTGTGAGGCACGTTTTGCGCTACCTGATGGTGCTAAGTCTGGAGCATCATGCATCATTCGTTGAGTGAATCTCCAACATTTTCCCTGCCGAGACCACCAGCCTGGTTGGCTTTCGTCCCTTCCGAGCTCAGGCCGTGGTTCCTCATGCGGCTTCTGTCCTTTTCTTTTGGGACCAGGACCTTATCGCAGAAAGCGCGCCGACAGAAACCTTGAGGCCCTGGAATATTGATGGCTTGGAGGGGTGGTATTGGCAGGCAACTCCCTCAATATGCTTGGCATGATCTGTTCAGAGGCCTTCGCGATTTCCAATTGCCGAGTTGGGGGACCGGGCTGTAAGGCTTGGTGGTTTCCTTCTTATCGTCTTAGGACTTAGGATGAACGTCGTTTGAGCTGTTGGCGAACAAGCAGTGGTGCCTGCAACAGCTTTGGAGCAGTGTACTGGGGTCACAGCAGCTAGTTTTCTTCATGTGTGTGGTGGGTGTGTAGTGGGTGTAGTTGGGTTGCTGTATCTATTTTTGCGTCCCCTCCTGATTGTGACTGTTTGTCATTTTGCGCATTTTGGCATTAGGTGCGAAGAACTGGCAGAGCTACTTGACTGGTTTGCCGTCAGTGGTGCCGACTGCTTTTTGTAGGAGCACCTGATCTTTGACTTCAGAGGAACAGACCCGCGGCGCCTCATGACGACAGGTGAAGAACAGAGTTTCTGCACTCGGGGGGGGTGTCATCCGAATCCAAGCGCCATGGGTTCCAGCATCAGTATCACATTAGTTAATGCTCTTGAGCCGGACTCCTTGTGTGTAATTTTCGGAACAGTTGCTGCGAGGTTTACAAACCTTTCGTGGAATTTGTTGAGTGCCTCGGCAACGACGAAATTAGGCCACTTTCCTGGGTTGCTGCACATCCGCGGCACGTATGGCCTTGTAGCTTGTAAGGCCCACATGAACTCGAGACCAACTGAGTGTTGATCTTGGCACACCGTTTTCCCAAGGGTGATGCGCGTTCTTGCTGATTAACTTCGAACTGGATGGTTGATTGTGTAGCTGGAATCGGCAAGCGTTTCGGCATGAATCCCATTCATCTGCAGGGGCTGCAAGAAGACCAGGTGAATGTGTAGGGCAGGCAGTCGAGCGAAGAAAATGAAACCCGCGTGCTGTCGCGCAAGCTTTTGTCGTGCCGGTCTAGCTGAAAGCTTGTTTTCCGCCAGCCGTGAAGCTTTGTACCGTCAACAATGACAGCCGCAGTGGCCAGCGATCGGCATAGTTAGGACGCCACGCAGATCGGAGCTTTCCGTTGTTCAGGAGCTGAGCTTTATGCCTTCATTCTAGATTCTAGATTCGCAGTTGCCATGTCGCAGCACAGGGCATTGGTCGAAAGGTGATAAGGTATGGCACTCATAGAATGCCACCTCTGCGACCATGGCAAGTCGTGGTGCCGGGCTCTGCTTTGTTGTCAGTACCGTGGCACCGGTCGCACAAGCAGTCCGCGGAGCCTTTCGCAGGTGCACACGGTGGGACGTCCAAGGCCTGCGGCCTGCTGTTCTGGTCGGTGATGTCTGCCAGTTGTCCAATAAGTCCATCCGCTGAAGTCTCGGTCGGAACGAAAGATAACATCTATAAAGTTCCATTGGTTTTGATTGTCCACTTCTTTGCCAAAACCTGATGTACCTGGCAATGTACCTGGTCACATTGAGTGCAGGGAAGCCGGCTGGGAGAGCTTGGCAGCCGCGGAGCACCCTGGAAGAAGAACCAAGACTTGAGGTGCCTGAAGTCACGTGGACTTCGGACTGTTTGCAGAGCAACCCCTCCAGGGTTTGTTTTGGATGCGGGGCTTGTCGGATGTTCCGATGGAAGGTATACACGCCGGCTGGAGCGCGGTCGTCCGCCAATCCTGGCTCGGACCACCTTCTATTCAAGCAGCACCTCGGAGCACAGCCGGTGCTGCCGCTGCTGCTTCTGTTGTTGTGGTTGTTGTGGTTGTTGTTCAATGGTCCTTGGGGTACTGCGTGTCCTAAACATTCAGCTGTGTCTTTCGCCGATGGTCAAAGCTATGAATCTCCAAAACTGTTGAGCAACATTTCGGCGGGGAGGAACACGATTTCAGCAGAAGTCTCGGTATGGCTGGACTACGCTAGGCTACTTCAGGCCACTGTAAGCCTTGGAACCGTAGCTGTTGCAGACCAGGTCTCCCTGTCTGCGTGATTCATGGGTCGCATGTCCGAGTATTTGGGGCCGCCGGGAGATGTGCAGCGTTGCCGTGCAGCAGGTGATGCGCTGATGAGAGGAGTGCAGGGGCTGACGGGCTCCCTGTTCGTGCGCTGGCGAAACCACCGCAAAAGGGTAACGCTGCAAGACCCTGTGGGTCAAGCTTGCTTGACAGGTTGTTGCGTGGTCTTTCGAGTGTGATAGGATACACCACAGGAAGTATAAAGGACAGTCACTTCGACCCTTGCAGCATCAGACATGCATCTTAATGTTGCTCTGATTAGGTAGGCGTGTTATGTTGCGAAGGCAGATTTGCAGTCTGTCCACACGAAGTGATGGTCGTCGCCAGACCATATCAGGGGACGCGGCTAGATCTGCCTGTCTCGTTCACTAACTGCAGGCACGACTGTCTTGGAACTCGGGTTTGGGTCGGCGGGTGTCCAGGAAGTTGTGGTTGTGCGGGCGTCCATCAGAAAAGGCTGAACCATGGTTGCGGCCTCCAAATTCAGATTGGCAGTTGCAGAGGGTGATAGCATGTGCATGTAGTCATGTGTGGTGAGTAGTTTCTGAATGCCAAGCACGTGATTCGAGCCTCGCCGAAACAGTTGCAGCACCCAGTTCCGAGTAAGACATTTAGTCTCGAGGCTTCTGAAGTTACACGAACTCCGGCTCTGAGCTTGCTCGCAAACGACAGTTCGCTATGACGATCGGGATCGTAAGCACAACTGCCATCACAACGATCACCAGACTGCGGTGAAGCGGCAGAAGTCTAAACAGTACGGCCACGGCTAGACTAGGCTTGAAAGCGTGTCGACTGAGCCTCTCTTGCCGACGGGAAACCTAGGGTGTTAGTGCTTGCTCCGTTGTTTCTGATTCGTAGAGATCCGTCTTTGAGCCTAGGTATTGGATCCACTGGGTGAAGCCATGGAGAGCGAGACCTTTGCCCACTTGGTTCTGGGAGTCCTGCAGGAGACTGCCCGTGTCGGGGGAGCCCGGGAGCTTTTGATGTTTTGCCGAAAGCGTTGCTACGTAGGGTTTCTGATGTTTGATGATGTTGGATGGATGGGTTATGGCATGGGTGGCTTGATGTTTGATGGATGGCATGATGTGAGGTTTTCGTGTGGGTTTTTGGTTAAGTTTTTCTTACTCATTGCATATCGTATGCGAAGAAGAATGATGCCTTGACGACTCGTGCTGGGAATTGACAGACGCTCTTCTGTCCTTGGTGCGCTCGGCCGCTGCATGTGCGGTGCCGCTCCATCCGTGACGATTCCTCCTCAGAATTGACAATCTCCTCGGTGGACACGAAGTGTAGTTGATCGTAAATTATAATGCCTTGGCCCAATTCGGCCTCGAAATGCCAACCTTCACGGTGATGTGGCATGTGCGGGCGCTACGCCGCTGTTGCCATGTCAGTGCATGGGGTGTACCAGCGAAGCAGGTTGGTCATGTCTCTGAATCCAGCCAATATACCAGTATGGGGGGAAGCATCGCGGTCATGTCTCTAAACCCGTCCGTGCATTCGTGGAAGCATCTCGGCGGTGGTCGTGAAGCACATGCTGGGAAGTATTTGAGTTGGGGTTTTGTGGCAGGGGTCATAGTAGGGTTGAAGGGCTTACAGGAGTCTACAAAGAAGTGTAGAGGCACGGCTTAGGGTTTAGGGTTTAACCCTAAATCCGAAACCCTGAACCACTTAGGAGCGTTTGTACAAGGGTTTGTTGAAGGGTTTAGGTGCAGAAGGGTTTATAGAAGCATTTCCTAGAAGATCGAGGGCATGTTTTACGAATTGGGTCCTTGTTGTATCTGAGTATCTGAAACACCGCTGCTACCATACCTGCCGCTCCAATCGCTTTGGGGACTCGCATGCACTGGCTTTGCGTTCTGAAGTCATGGGTCAATCGGGTGTAGTTGGCTCAGCAGAGGAAGACTTCGGAGCAGAAGGGATGCCGCCCAGAAGTGTGTTTGCGAACGTTGATTGAAGCTCTGAACCGAGCAGATGTGCGAGTGAAACGGAAATGCTGAGGTCTCCTTCGCCATCGGCGGCGCGGACGGTCTCCCGGAACCCCTGCGCCCGGGTTGTGGGGAGCTCGCCCGTACCGTGAGGTGTCTCATGATCGTCAGGGAATTGATATGAGCCACGCATACTGCACACACCAGTTTGCTTGTGCAGAAGGCAGAAGGCCAACTGTTGCTGTTGAAGTCGACACGCATGCATCTCCGCAGCCAGCAGGCACTTGTCACTGAGCCAAATGACGTTCCCTCATCGACTGGCGCGGGTGCTGCTGCTGGAGCAGGCGTTTGTGTGTGTGTGTGTGCGTGTACATACTTCCTTCTCCGTGGAAGGGAGAAAATTGAGATTGATGGCAGCCTTCCTGGAAAGATCGTTTGGTTCCGAGCTGTTCCGACGGAATCAGTAGGAAGTATGTTGGATTCAAGTCGAGTCTAGTCCGAGTTTAAGGAATGATTGTACCTTGATGAGACAAGACATTTGACAGAAGCTGTCACCATGTAAAGTAATGTGTCTTTCTTCTCGGTACTGACCGAGGGGAACCCGAATCCATACCCAGATACCTCCATTGCCGCAAGATCTTCCGTGCGCGCGAGCTGACCATCGGCTCTGGCTACAGTCGTTGAGGCGTGCTTGCTTGAGCTGCTGTTTGCCTACCGTCTTCCAACCATGGGTGTTGCCATGGAAGCATGTTCTCCCGTTCCTTTCGCAGCTCGCCAGGCGTGAACGGTCCAGATGACGCATGCACTTGGCTCGGTGCCGCAGCTGACAGAGAACCTTGACTGCAGCTGGAGTTGCGCTTCTGTAGTGACATGAGGTTCCCAAGCTCATGATAGACAGCCGTCGAATACTTATCTGGCAAGCCAAGCTTTGTGAATGTGCATCATGCTTCATGCGATGCAACTTGGTCACGGGCTGCAAGTGGAGCCTGTTGCAACATGGCGTGGGGCGCACCACGACCCAAGCACAACTATTGCGAAGCAGGCTTCGATGGCAGATTGGCTGCGCCAGCCGCAGAAGGCGCCCAATTCTCCGGCAGTTGGTGCAGTCGAGGTGGTCAGATGTGGCACAGGGTGTTGAGAAGCTGGGATGCAGAGTGCCTTTCCATCTCGCAGGACAGGTGCCAAACCAATGTCCTCCTACAGGACCAACACCCCAGAAGGTCATCAGATGATCCCAACCTGGGCATCATAAAAAACAAGCTTAGTTCAAACATCCCACGAAGGTCTACTTGGTGGCCCGGCCCTCGCGCTTTCCTTGTTGGCTAATCTGAAGCCTTTGCCAGCGACAACTGAGTGATGGGGCCAAGCACCGGCACTGAGTTCAGCCGATTGGGCTGGAGGCTTGTTAAGGCCTGCCAAAGTTCAAGATGAGCCTGCGGAGCTTTTCATGGAACCTGAGGTTCCAAATTGCACGCCTGAAAGAGCATGAACCCGAGACACATTTGCAGTTCGTGTCTCAGGGTTGCGGGCTCCGGGGCCACGATCCCACAGGTACCTGCCGTGAATTGCAGAGCCGGGCGCACAAACGACTTCGCACGCTGCATTTGGGTGTAGCTGAGCACTCGGGAAATGGCTTGCAGGGTTTAGGAAAGTTAAGGGATTCCCTCGTGGCTTTCTGTTTGCGTGTCTTTGCACTTCATTCCGGTTTGAGCTTTCCGGCTCCTTACCCAGTGATTCCTTTTCCGCCGAGAATATCCCAAACATTTGTTCCAATGTCGTCAAGCTCGTTTGGCATACCTCCTGAGCCAGAAAGTCTTCCATCACGCCCAGACGTGTGCATCGCAGTCACATCGGTTGTGATGATGATACTACTACAAGTACTAGCATTACGACAACACAGCAACTTCTTCTACTGCTCCTACTGCTACGGCTACTGCTACGGCTACTGCTACGGCTACTGCTACGGCTACTGCTGCGGCTGCTGCTACGGCTACCGCTGCTCCTACAGCAACTACTGCTAGCACCACCACCACAGCAACGACTACTGCGACACGCTCTTCGGTGCAGCATGGAGCGTGAGCTGCGTGCTGGCCGCAGCTGGTGGGCCAAGCGAGTTCGCGTGAGGCGTGCAGGGGCTGCTTGAAAATCGGCGTCCCATTAAAGGGATCCCCATCACGGTACACTCCTGCCGAAACGGTTGTCTCAACGTTGGCCGTCAGAATCATTGCCTGCTGCGCTTATGGTGGTCCATGCAAAGACTTCGGTGTAGAGCTTTGGGTTAGGGAGGTGCGGGGTTGGATTCGGGAGCTGGCCTTCCAGATGTTGCAGGTGTAGCAGCGGTGTCGGCCACTACATGGTCGTGACGATTGCTGTAGAGTTGTACCGCTCGTTCTGAGGGATAGGGGAGCCCTTGGCTTGGCCAACATACACATTGCGTAGCTTGGAACGGCCAGGGACGCCCTGACGGTCCATGCATCTCGATAGAGCTTGAAGGGATGTTGCTTGGTTGATTGTTTGTGAACCCAGGTGCAATGGGCGGGTCCTCCGAAAGCAGGTGCCGCTGATTCCAGTGTTCAAGAGCCTGTTGACGTGACCCTCTTCCAATGTCGAAATGCCATGGTTCTTGGAGCCTGACCCGAAATCTACCCTCGAGTGGCACCTCTCGACAGTGCAGATCTCGTCGTAGTAGTTTCCTTGGCAATGCAAGGTGTGGATGCTGCTGGCTTGCTTTACGACACCGGGCACCGTCCGCCCTGCTGCATGCAAAAGGGGCAGGGGGTGGCTTAGATATATGCCAGAGCTGCTGCCCAATGTTGACAATCCTTTACCATGTTGTTCAGCGTCCTGCCATGTGGTTCAGCGTCCATGTCTGCCCACCCCCAATGAACGTTCTTTCACGCCGGAGGTTGCAGAAGACATCCACAAAGCTCTGGCTGCCGACGATGCTTGTGCTGCAGACTCTTGTGGGCTCGGCCTGCTGCAGGCCAGACTGTTGCTGCGCTTAAGGAAACGCGCCTGAACATTCTGTCCATTCATGCGGGCTTTCAACTGCTGTTCTGGCATGGAAGAATCTATGCCACTTTGACTACGGCTCAAGAATATATTTCTCAAAAGCACATCAAAGTAGAACGATCCCGCGGCTCATGGCCTTGTGATAGTCACAAGAGCTTCCGGACTAGTTTCGCGTGCCCTCTTGCGGGTGTACACCATTGGCAATATCCTTCAGTATCGCAATGTGGATTTGTCGCAAGTGGAGCTAGGCAGAACCGTATTGGGCAACAACGGGACTCACCACCCCATCCTCGTGCCAATGCTGTTGCTACACAACGTGGTGTCCGTGGTAAAGACTCTGTTATTGGTACACCAGTTCGTGAGATCACTGAGATCACCATTCAAAAACAAGGAGGCCCACAAAAGTGTCGGCATGGTGTGCTTTGCCGACATCTTCCCATTGAAGGTGCCTGCAGGATTTGGACGCAGCCCTCGTCGAAAGGCCATCAGGACCTCCACATGGAAGAGTACAAGATTCTGATGCGTTGGTTCAAGGACCTTCTGGTCGCTGCAGCATCGAGTGGCGGCGTCGTGCAGTACAAAGAGTTCATCGTTGGTTCGGGCTTTTCAACATCTTCGCGGTACTCAACGCCATTCTCTGCATCAAGCCCTCGTAGAAAAAGTACACATCGCTGATAATCGTGGCGCATGTCCTTGACTTGCTGTATGGCTTTGGTGTGATGGCTCGCCATTTGGTTGCCAACATCAAGTCATTGGAGGCCTACGGTGCGTGTTGGGAGGTGAGCATCGAGCACTTGCTCCGGCCATTTTGGGCCATCACCTTCGGTGGCACCAATTGGCTGCTGTTTGCTGGCTTGTGCGCCGGAGGCTCGTGGAAGCAGATAAATTCTGTGCGTGCTCATCAGGTGAATCTGCAGTTGCTGACGGCAGTCGCCGCGGTTGGAACATAGATCACAGTCTTTACTCACCTCCGCTTTCTGTGGGAACTCACGCTGATCACCAAGATGTCGGTGCAGTTGGGCGGTTCCTCCGCCTTTCTGTACGCCACGGGATTCGTAGACGTGTGGACCACGCAAATGTGCAAAGCTTGCTGTGACATTGCGACCTGCTCTGAGCGTGAGGGAGGCGTTCGCGGCCGCTGACGATCTGAGCCCTCAAAACGAAGAAGTTGAAAGAAGAGTGACGAGTGGCTCCGTTGCCGATGTGCTTCTTTGCGTCAGTCTGCTACAGAAGAAGGACATCAGCCGCAATGCGCTGCTGAAGGTACTTTCAAATCCAGATATTCGGCTGTTCCAATGTCTGGTTTCGTTCCAGTACCTGAATTGTTTCCAGCCACGAGTGCAGGATGTGCCAGGTCAGCTTCAGTGTTGTTCTCGGGCTTGATCGGCTGTTCTTAGAGCACGAGTGTATGCCCTTCCCGTCACGCGCCTCGGCCTCAGCGCGGGTTCAAACAAAAAAGACTCTCTGGCATTCTGATCTTGCTGCTTGTCTTGTTCGGATTCCTCAGGGAGCCCCCTCTCCCTCCATACAAGCGCTGGTAGGTAATCAGTACCTCCAAAGTTTGAAAGGCTAGCCACAGCATATCCACAAGTCGTCAGCACCTCGACATAGCTCCGAATACACCTGAATTTGCCAGTGGACAGAAACATTGTGAAGAACATGTTGCCATGTCTGTGAAACTCGTCTTTAGCTCCCGCCGACCAGCTTCCGTGCAGGTGGGCGCGAGCCAGGAGGCTCGAATGCCGGGATTGAAGTCTTGTGGGAGCTTCCAAGCACGACGCTTGCTTGTGCTTGCAGCTGTAGATGAAAGGGTGCCAAATCAAACGAATGGGGGGCTGATGATGGTCTCTGTTCCAAACAAACGAGCAAGAATGGCAGCTTTGTCCATCTTGTGGTGGAGTTTACGTCAACATGCTGTAACATACCGTGTGCCTAGCATAGTAGTAGGCCGTTGCAGGCCGCATGCGAACAGAACCTACTTATCCAACCATCGACACAAACAGAAGGTAGCAATCCGACATGAACAGGAGCAAGCGCACCTTACGGTAATCAGCCTAGGATTCGCCCAGTGAAATAGAAGATTTATCAGGCGGAGAGCAGCTCATATTGGCAAGGCCCGGCCTGTGCAGCATACAGTATGACAGCATGTAGGAATTGGGAGCAGCATTTTTTGCACGTGATTGTCTACTGACTATGTAGGCCTGTAAATGCCGGACACAGAGAGCATCAGAGAGCCATGCATGGAGGTGTGCGCGAAACCGGCACCACGTGCTTCTTCAGCAACTGTCCGGGCAGAGTCTGCGTTGCAAGCTACACGAAGCTGGGTGGAGACCTTGTGCTCTCAGATCCGTGCTGCCTTGGATGTTGAGGACTAAATCCCGTGGACTGCCATCACTGGCGATGTGTTTGCCAGGAGGCGAGGAAACAGAATTAAGGTAACATTATCAACCTGCTGACTTTGGTGGTGTGCGTTGCAGGGCAACAAATACAACCCAGCTGATGGAGGCGCCTGCGTGGCAAACGCCCCGTGGCCTGCACTAACAATGGGCAGCAGCTCCAGCCCATGGCAAGTTGGGGCCTCCGGGCTTAAAGCGATATGTTGGCATCGTGACCAAGTATGAAGACCTGCGTGCCGAGCTGGCTGCTCGCTTCGTTCTGCAAGGATTCTCCTTCAGCCAGGCGGATGACGGGCAAGACCTGCTGGCTGACTGGCTGCCCAGAGGAGTATGGATCCACGCAGCAACTCTGCACAAGTAATTGGGTAGTCAGGGCTCTCACACTTGCTGCACAAATCAGCTGCCCCAGATGTATTTCGTATTGATGCGTGCCTTGCTGTCATTCAGATTCGAGTCAGCAGCCACCGCGGTCATTGTCTTCGTCAGGACGGTGTTAAAGATCTGATTTCCCGGTTGCTGTCGTGCTTGCTTCTGTCTGCTCGCTTGCCGCATCTTGCCGCTGATGTCGTGTTTACAGCTGTGGCACCTGTGTTCAGCAGCGGCCCGGTCGTCGTGTGTCCCATTTTTCAATTTAATTCTTCAATACATGAGAAAGTCTTGCGGCTTTGTTGTGCGAGTTGAAGGCTTCCCACGACCGTGGCAGAGAGGCGATTCGGGGTTGGTCATGCCCAAGGAATGGTGGATGACAGCAAAGGTTTTCAAGACTGCCACGAGATGTGTGTGCGTGCGCGTGTGCGTGTGCGTGGGTGTGTGTGTGTATATGTGTATATGTGTGTGTGTGTGTCTATGCAGTTTCGATGCCGACGGGCCTTTGCAGTGTGAAGAACAGCGAAGGTGTGTCGGACACGAATGCGTTTGCGATGTCGGGTTCGAGTTCCAGAAGGCCAAAGGTCAGCCCGCATCCGTCCGCCTTGTCCACCGTTCTTGGTACTTGGTCCTGTATTTCGCATGCTGTCGTCAGTGCAAGTCTGGCCCGAGACCGGACAGAAATATCTTCCGAGAGCCATGCAGACTGCCAGTGTTCTCGGCTTGGTCGGTGCGGCGAAGGCGGGGATACCAAGCGGTGCTTAAATGTTCATCGGACGGCCGTCTTTCTGCAATCGATGCCATCGCATCCAAATCGATTGAAATCCATCAGGCCCCTGGCCCAACTCGGCGTGACGGGTGCCCCTTTCAAATACATCAGCCTTTTGAACCTGCCGCAAGTACATGAAAAATTGCACGTCCTAGCCGACTGAGTAGGGATGTGGAGGTGCACAGGCTTTGAGCTCAGAGCTGCCAGAATCCGGTGATTGGAGGAGATGCCGCGAGCACCCCGCGACCAATCTGATGGGCTGCCGCGGCTTTTGGGGCGAGACACGGCAGGCCGTGGTGGGGCATTTGACGATGTGGAGCCTGTAGACTCAGGCGAGAGGTGCTCGACAGGCTCTGTGTTGGTTCGACCGCATAGATTGCAGGCCCACGACTACTCTCCTCAGCCTTGAGCCCCCACTTTGAGACGGAACGGCAATTCTAGCGAATGCTTGAGCTGGCTCTCGCTGGCTTGAGTAACGGTGTGTTCAGACGCCCCCAGTAGGACTCAGCAGGTCCTGCACAGCGGAAGCTTCCAAAACACGACCTCCAGGTGTGGACGGCGGTTTTGAGTGGTGCGTTGCTGGCTTCAGGGCTTGATGGTTGATGGATCCAGGTACAACCTGGCTCGAGAAACCTTGTCGGTGGGGTGGGAAGATTGAGATCTCATTGCAGTATAGATCTATCAGAAGGACTTTTGGGTCGATGCGAAAACGCGCGCAAACCTTGATCCGTGCATGCGATTGCCTGGCCAGGTGAGGTGGGACGACTTCAAGCCAGATTACCAACGGAAACTCGCCGTTCAAAGCAGAAGTTTCTTCCAGGATCTGCTTGCATCTGCTCGCAACGGCCCAGGAAGTTGGGCGCCGGTGCCTACGGCGGGGTGTACCAAGTGTGTGGCAGCCCGGACAAGGTGGTGTGGCTCGGCTCCCAGGCGATTTGTTTTTGTGTAGGTGTCGTAGGTCTTCGAACTGCAGCTCGCTGCCTCACTTTCATGAAGGCCCCCCGCAGCCGAGGAAACTCTTCAGCCATTCCGATTGGAGCGACGTAGTGCGGGAGTCGCGCTTTGCACAGACGATGAAGGCACGATATCCACGTCACTTCGTCGACTGCATGGGCATGGGCAGCGTGCCAGACGGTGGTCAGATCTTTGCCGTCTTCGAGCGTGCGACTGGCATGAGCCTTGCTGCCGCTGCTACCCGCTTTGACATCCCTGAGGGCATTGGGCACGTCAGCCAGGCACTAGACATCTTGGATCAGCTGCTGACAATCATGTTAGACATGATGAAGCCCGATAGCCAAGGAGCCTTGCATCAATTTAGGCACTTGCCGGTTTTGCAAGGGTCTCGAGTGCTTTATAGGGAGATCGCCTTTTCAAAAGTCTTTTCTGGTGCCCCAATGGGCAGGGATGTATTCGCTTCCATAGGGAAGCCCTCTTGTTGTGTCCAGGCAAGTATCACTTCCACCTGGACTTGAAGCCGGTGGACTCCTCAGAGGGAATGAATTCATGGTATGGTATATGCCGTCTCCGCCAAGCCGCCAAGCGGTAAGGCGGAGTTTCCGCGGCCTGAGGACAACATTATGGTTTCCACCAGCACCGATGGCAAGGGTCACGACGTCAATGTCACGTTGATCGACTACGGCATCGTGAAGACATGTGAGAATGGAGACAGTAACGTAGAGGAGACCCAATGCCACCCACTGTTGCAGCAGCTCATGTTAGACTTCACCACTCCCTGAAGACTGTGTGTGCGTCTGGGCAGGACTCTGCGCAGCAGCTCTTCCGCTGGTTTGGATGGGAGCTACTCTGGGTGCCTTGCATCAGAACCCAAAGGGATGGGCTTGGTCTTGAGGAGGCAGGGCCCTGCAGCCCTGCTTCGTGAAGCAGCCGGCAGACCGGCAACTGACGACGCTGGAAAAAGGATGCTCCTTGCGATACCTACGGAGCAGTTTAACACAAATTTCACAGACTTCGCCTTTTGTTGTCTCTCTTTTGTGATCTCCGTCTCCGCGGCTGGCCTCTCAGTCTCTTCAGGTGCTGTCTTCAGAGGCCTTCCACGTCGAGGCGGAGACGAACCCCTGGGAGCAGCTGCCAGACACAGGGCAGAGCAATGGAGAAGCAGCCCTTTTGAAAGGGGGGAGCCGATCTAAACAAAAACTCCATGCTTTTGTGGGGTAGAGCTATCAATGACAGAGAAGAGGGTAGCAGAGCTGGGTTGGTCGCATCTCTGGCTCCTGGAGCTTTTGGTCCCAGTGTTGCTCGCATCCAAGAACTGTCTAGAGGCCGTGCCTGTATGATTTGTGTGACTGGTACCGCAAAGCCCTCAGATATCTGAATAGCAAGCCTAAGCCTGGACAGCAGAGGAGGGATTCCGGCCCTTCTTCCGCCGTTCGGACTTTCGCCCGGCAGCCTACAGGTCGGCCGGAGGGCTCCGTTCAGGGCTGTTTACAGTTGTTTCGTCACTTCGACTTCGAATGTCGAGGGAGATGTTGGTGTAGGTGTAGGCTGAGGGCTTAGGGTCTTGGCTTAGTTTGGTTGGGCAGCTGTTAGGAGCCTACAGAGTCGTTCAGAGGTGCGGTTGGCAGGGGGAGGTGGGGGGGACGCGGGGAAATTACAACGGAGAGGATGAGGATGGCCGTCTCAAATCTGTTCGAATCTGCATGGCGAAGCCGCGCAGCAGCTCAGAAGAGAATGAACAACGATGGACACCCTTAAAGCTGACGGTTGTAGCCACACCGTCATTTCCTGCCTGTCTCAGCCCTTACAAGGACAGAGCAGCTGAGTCCACAACTTCTCCAGGAGTGGGTTTCAAGATCGGCTATCTCAATATCTCTCTCTCTTCTCTTTGCCGTGCTGTCTTTAAGGGTCTCCTGACGCACTTGCAGGCTGGAACATCAGGAGGTGAAAGGTGTGCTCAACACCTGCTTCATCCGTCCAGCCCACAAACCAAGTTCGCTGTTCCGAAGTTTTTGCAGGCCTGCAGACACTTCCCGAGTCAATCCTGATGCAGTCTTGCTTTGAACCACACTCGACTATTTCTCGCCAGTCTCTTCAAGAAGGGGCCTGCGTATAGCTGAAAGACCGAAGCAGGACTCCCTCCAAGATGGCTTCTTCGACGAGGTCGGAAGCGGAATTCATTCCTACTGAGGGACAGGAGGGGTATCCAGAGACAGGGAGCCTGAGAGTCCCGAAGGTCCTGTCGCCAGCTTTTCGCCGGCAGTGGCGCTCCCCAGAGGAGGTCTGGATTCGGGTTTGAGGGCTCCTTGGACTTGTAGGCCGTGTGGCTGAGATGCTTAGAATCGCTTTGTTGGCCGCTGCCTCACTATAAGCCGCTCCGGGCTGTACACCTGACGGAGAGGCGAGGCGGCAGCTCGGTCGTCTCCTCGGGGATGCTTTTCATGGTGTGGCCCAGGCCAGCGACAAGGCACAGCGAGGGAGGTCGAACGCATGCGAGAAGGGTATTGGGCCAGCTCAAGTTTTGAGGCCGGTTACGTTCCAGACTTCCAGAAGCTGCGCTCCGACATCCGATCGCTCCGTGCGCTTGCTTCAGAGTGATCGCTGAATTTGCCCGATGGGCAGGAATTCCTATTGCATGGGTAACAAGTGCCCCCTAACACACTCGCAGGTCCGGGCTTTGAAACTTAAAAGACATATTACTTCGATGAGGCTCGTCCAGATGATGACTCATGTCTTTGATTGTCGAACATACTGGGCAACGCAGGGTAAAACCTGCCATGTGAAAAGGATAGCCCGGCGCGACCGTAGATTCGTATGTTTCGAGGGTCCACAACTGCCGTGCAGATGTACAGCTGTCGATTCTTAGGGATGCAGAGGGTGCAGCCGCAGGATGGGCGCTGTGTAGATCTTGTCGGTCCGTGGCATGCACCATGACACCCGCTGCGCAACGTCGTGAGCGGCGGAGTTCTGAGTGTGGCGACAATGCCGCACCTTCATGCAGAAGGATGCACAGGTGACTGCTCCTGTCATTGTTTGCTTCGATCGATCAAAAAGACTTCTCTGGAGGCGATGTGACCAGTGTTTCCCCTGCCTGCACCTGTGTAAAGACCCGTGCAGGTGCTTGCGTCAGGGCACCCGCAGCATCTCCAGCAGGACTACGCAATTGAAGGTTTGTCTTGATGATACGTGGAGAGCCTCGCCATTGCCGTTGAGTCCGTTGAATCGAAATCGGAGCCTTTGAGAAGCTCAAGGCTGAAGGCCTGGGGGAGCCCTTCATGCACTTCGCAGCCTGGCCCTTGCTGATCCCTGGCCTTGGGGCATGCCTGGCCTGGATAGTGCCTTTGTGTGCGGGCTCCTTGCGATTGGCCTGCCAACAAGCAAGATCCAGCTGCAAGTTCGATAAGATCTGCTTCTTTGTCTATGCACTTCTGGTTGGCTTGGGCGTTACCAAACAGATGTCGGCAGCTTGGACCTTGAACACCGTGGCAGCATCGATGATGTCCATGTTGGCCGTGGTATTTCTATCATTCTGCTATGTTGTTCGGCAGAAGGAAGCGTGGTCTGCCCAATTTGCTGCAAACCGCATGCCTCGCTCGATGTTCGACAGCCCCAGTAGCCCGTCCCGCCGCCGCATGCCCCGGCCAAGTCCGAGGGGGAAGGTGCTGACGGAGGTGGCTGAGGCTGCTAACAAGGTCCGGCGGCGGTCCGTCACCGAGGCCTTGCACAAACCGCTTGGCACCCTGAGCACCCGCTTCGAGAACGCGATCGTGGATTCCAATGTGATGCCCGATGTCGATCACGTGCACTTGACGCAGCAGGACTTTGTTTGGGTTCAGCTCTTCGTGGGTGCACCCTTGATGTGTGGCATCGTCTTCGGCCTTGTGCATACCTTCGTGCGTGGTTGGCTGCAGCAGAGGCGTTGGCTAACTCCCGCAGCCGTGGATCCCAAGCGTGTTGCCGCGCAGATTTTGCTGGAGACGCCGTCTTTGGCCATGTTCTTTAAATGCAAACGTCAAGTCGAAGGGCGTACGACAGCCTTGTTCGCTTTCACCGACATCATCCTCATCAACCATCGAAACGAGCTGTGGTATCCTCAGCTCATTACTTTTGATGTGGACCTGAAGACGAGAACTCTGGTGAAAGCTGCCGTGGATGGTGACGAGGTTACGGCTTCGGATGCCATCACTTTGACCTACTTCATGACGGCCGGTGGTACCCATCCAAGACTGCATGCTTATGCGAACTTCGGCGTCGACACAGAGGCGATTCGCGGATCCCTCCGTCAAGGCAGCATCATCACGGTGATTTTCAATCACTTCGGTTTCGAAGGGACCGGACGCCTTTTCGAGAACTTGCACCGCTGGGGCTTGATCAACACGCGCCTTCTCGCTGCAGAAGCCGTGGGTGCCAACGCGACACGGCCAATCCCAGCACACGGCCACATTCGCCAGTTGGAGGGCTACTCACGTGCTGTTCGGTTTGCGGTGTCCGTGCGTGCAGCTTTCTTTCGAGCCTTTCGTGATGCGGCTTGTCAAGAGCCAGACTCTTATGCTTTGGTGAATCCGGAGGCGCTGTTTGTTGGATCCGTGATGCATTCCTTAGACCACTGGAGTGTGACAAGTGCCGTGACGGACATTCTCTGGTTTGACGTGAATTCACCAAAGTTCGGGATAATGGCTCAGGTGTGCAGGGTGGTACGGGGCGGTGTGTCTTCAGAGCTGCCTGGACTCCTGATCACTACGAAGTTTCGGTGGAGCCGAGACCCTCTTCACCAAGCAGTCTACAAGCATGCTGCTGGCATTGATGCCGGGCTGGCCAACGAGATGGAAATCTGTATCTGCAGATAATTTTGAGGGTGGGTCTCTCTGCTTGACGATGCATGGTTAATGTTCTTTGCGATGTCACAGTGTTGGATGCGATCGTACACTCAGCATAGCCTACTTTTCACGGCGTGGGTAGCGAGGGTACGTCGATGCTCTCTCCTGAATGACCAGTGTGGAGCATTGTCTCGCAGGAGTCGTTTGTCAGCACTTTGATTGAGAAGGTCTTGCTTCTTGCAGACCCGGGCTCGGGCGTTCTTTTTTAATGCTCTGAGAAATGCTCCTTCCGAGCGGAGTATTCGTTCCTACCTTTGCCCAGTGATTTTCAAGGAAAAACTCGTTCCCCAAAGGGGGACGAGCTCCTCTCACAAGGCTACGCGAATGTCCGCCACAAGCGAAAAGTTCTGGCACTTCTTCACAGCAAGGCTGTATGAGCATGAAGTCGTTTCTTTGACGGATCTTGAGACGAGGGCATAAGTCCCGCAACAGTAGACCGAATTCCACAGCCACAACCTGGCATTCGCTGAGGGGCTCGGTAGGCCTGGGCCTCAGCCTCAAGAACTCCGAGTGCCCACCGCCGTGACTCATCTGCATTCCTAGGCTAAGATGGCCTTAAAGGTTAAGAGTTATGGTCATGGACGCAGCTTTTTTCGCATCTGCTCTGCTTCTGCCGCACAGGTCGTGACTGCAGCCGTGTCCTCTCAAGTGCTTGTCGTATTGCCTTACACCATCCCCGGACGGTAGACGGCTATGAAATTCGGCTCGTTTGCCATCGCCGGGGTCTACGGGATGTTCCTGTCCCTGCTGATCCTTACTGGAAACTTTACGGATACTTTTCTTGTCATGTTCTGCCGAGAGCCTAAGTACACGCTGGGGAACTTTGGCCAAGTGTGGGCCAACTGGCATGCGGTCGGTTGTGCCTATGTTGGGCTGACAAATTTATGGGTCTTTCTCAAGGCTGAGAGCCTTCAAAGTCTAGCGAAGCAGCTGGTCGCTTTCAACTCAGCCTTCATCTACGGCACTTGGTCCCTTCAAAACACTTACTACTGCATCTTCCGCACAGACCTCTTCACGCCGTGGATGTGGCTAAATGCAGGAGGATGTGCGGTTGCCGCTGCTCTCAGCCTTAAGGACGGGGTGGCTGAGAAGAGAGCTGCTTCAGCCCATGGAAAGACATGCTAACACCAATAACACCAACCGATGCCTTGACAATGAGACCATGTGCTTGGAGCCATGTTCTAGGCCAGATGCTGCTGTTGAGTAGGAGCCGCTGGCCACCAAACCCGAAGTGAAAACAGCGGGCTTGGGATTTAGGGCCTTTTAGGGTTCAGCGTAGCAGGACTTGTTAAACCTCCGGACCTCTCCAAGACTTCCGAGGAAGAGTGTGTGTAGTCACCGGGTCATAGGAAATCATCGGGCGGGACTTCGTACCCAATGTGACTTGCTTGTTGGAGCAGTCTGCTGGGTTTCGTGTTTCAGGATCCAACCGAGGCCAGTCTGTTCGCGTCTCCGTAGCTACAGGAGCCTGCCGTGCCTGGCATGTAAGTTTAGCCAAGTGGCTCTCCTGACTTGGTCGAGCGCGAGTGCTAAAAGGTATCCTAGGAGCCTCCAGCAGTTGTGCGTTGTAGTGCAGTGTCGAATCTGAAACTATCTTGTGCCCCGCTGCAGCTTGAGGCGGCAAGTGGGGAGCAAGGTGTGGAGCAGACAGAGCCAGGTGGGAGCAGCCAATGCAGTTACCCTTTTGGTAGCAGCTGACCCAAGGGCTATCCACAGTTCCGAGTTCTGACTGCACCACATTGCGATAACAGGCAGCATACCGGGAAGCTTCCTGGGCATCGGTCGCTGGAGTGTGGTTTGAGTTTCTTGTTATAAGAGTCAGGTGACGGTGTGCTTCGGCGCATTGGCTTGAACCGGCCCTTATAGCCGTGACGTATCCATCAAGAATCTTGACAACTTGTCACACCTTTCAGATAAGACTCAGATAAGACACATCGTTGGCTGAAGCTGCCTCTCCAGCAGAGAAGCCTTGACCTGCCTCGTTCTCGTATTGTTTGGGGGTTGCACTCGGTGGGATTCCAGGCACAACTTGTAGTTGTCTTCTCATGTCTCCAGACCTTGTGGTGAATCCTTGCCCGAAGTGGCTGTGCGCATCGTCCAACATACGTGCCTGGACTGTGTTGGCTTCCAGACTGACTTTGTTTATGCAGAGCAGTTACAGGTGTTTTGCTTTTAAACTGGCGGACCACTTGGGGTCATGGGATCACACAGGTCGCTTCCAGACCGAGGCTGCTTTGGGCCTACTGTCGGACTCTCTTTGTTGGGTCTCAATGAAGGGGGACTACTCCGGCTGATGTGGGGCGGTGTGGCGGTGGCGACGGCACCGCTGGACACGTCACTTGTTTGCGTCATGTGCCTGACGATGCTCCCGTGCCTCTGCTTCGTACCATTGAGGTTGCCCCAATCTAGCGGAACATGTCCTCGAGTGCTGCTTGTGTCAGCCGGGACAGCGCAGCCCTTCTGTATGTGGGGGCTGTTCTCTAGTAGCATTGAACACTTCAGTAGCATGCTTCGTTTCTGCTTGCCTATGGTAAAGCTGGAAGTCATTTCCGCTCCGGAGGCCGCTGCCCAAAGATCCCAGGCCTGATCCGCCAGACTGCAATAACCTAGCCCATGAATGCACAACACAAAACCATGACCACCAGCATCAAGATGCGTCTACGGCTCCAAAGGAGTCATGGCCGAGCACAAAAGGAAGTCTGCACAGCTCATCGGGTGTCGATTCGTTCAGGATTGTCATCAGTACCCTGCAGTGCTGCGGGTAGAATTATCGTACTCGCATGTGCCTCAGGCGTTGCGGTTTGATTTAGCGACGGAATTGTGTTGTTGTTGTTGTTGCTGCTGCTGCAGCTGTTGCTGCTGCCGCCTGCTGCTGCTGCTGCTGGTGGTGCTGGTGCTGGTGGTGCTAGTGGTGCTTGTCTTCAAGAGGGCGTAAACAACCGTGACAACAACAGTCACTGGCTCGATATAGTTTATGCGGCGCTATCGAATCCAGTTTTTGTCTACCCTTGGGCACACATCTCAACACTGCCCACTCGCCCGAATCAGCCCGGCCCCGAGAGCCAACTGCACGGATCTATATATATATATATATATATATACCATGCTATGCTGCGTATTTCTGTTTGGTGGCTGAAGTTGTACTCTATTGGTATTCTTGTTGTTATCCTCAGTTGAGTTCTGTTCGGAGGTAACACAAAGTTGCCAGCTGTATAGTTTGGGCACCATGATCGGGTTCAGCATGGTTCTGGCCACCCGCAGGCCGCTGAAGCCGAAGCCCCCAAATCGCAGTTGCTCCAGCGGCCCAACCCTTTGAGAAAAGGTCATGTGGGATGGCCTGAGAGGCAGAGGAAGCAGAGCCTTTCTTGGTTTAGCATTGTACGAGATCTTCATGGACTACGGTCAGACAGTGACACAGTGACACCCGTCGCAGAGCCGGCAGAGGCGAAACCAAAGCAATGGCCGGTGCAACCGTCACCCTTGACGCACATTCGGCACTGGCGATCCTGCCGCCAGATGAGCTGCTGACAGAGGTGGCGAAGGGCTTCCAGGGAGGCAAATCCAAAGAATCTGCTTTGGAGGGTCCAACTCGCAGGCTTTTGTAACTTGGAAGGTGCAGGCTGTGCGCCAGCAGCACGACAAGGCCTACGTCCGATGGCCGCAGGCACTCCTTTGAAAGGGTTTCGATTTCTCCTCGACTCGTAGTCCGACGGAGTCTTCGCTGAACCTTGATCTCTGGCTCCTTCTGGCTCCTTGCAGGCGCATCTACGGGTTCTTTGGCCCTTCTTGCCCGTGAGGACTGTCAGTTGGTCCCAGGCTTATGCTCCGATCGTCACTGTCCGATGTGAAAGTGAAAGAGAAGTCTGAAGGCCCCCAAAAAGATTTGCCAATGTCACCGCCCAAACGGTGACGCCTAGAAGTCGCGAAGACTAATTACCTAACTCTCAACCCTCGAGGCAAAGCGGCCGGCACAGTTTAAACTCTTGCAGAATATTTCCCTCTGCCGTAACACACGCGCGAAAGTCGTAAGGCTTGAGATTGGTGTGCAGTTGAGGACGGCTCTCCCGCGGCTGGAGCAACTCAACGAGAAGCCGCCCGGCAAGCGCCAAAAGCTGCCTGCTACCCGAAGATGTAACAAACAGGTGCAAGCAGAAATGCAGCTTGTCCTCTTATGGCGATAGCGAGGGGATGATTATGATGATGGTGGTGGTCGTGGTGGTAACGACTGTGATAGTCATGACGATGCCCGCTTTTCTCCGTTCTTCCAGTAGAAGCTCCGGAACTCGACCCAACGCATAGCGCTGGCTTGCCATCGTCACGAAAGCCGGAAACATCATCCTCTTTGCAGAGGCTGGCAGCCTTACCCGTCGAGCTCTCGGAGGCTCACTTGGGTCCTATGGACGGGGCGTGTGAGCCACATCGAGGGATGTTTCCATCCCACAGCGGAGACCGATATTCCACCCGACTGCATCGAACGATGAGCATGCTTCTGCAATATACTGGCTTACTTTCGGCGCCGGTGCGTCCTTCAATAACAGCATTAACAGCATCTCTCTGCTCTTCTCAGGTGCGTCTTCTGAACGGTTTGGCGCGCGCGCCAGTGGATAGGGCGCAGCTGGACCACACAGCATTGTCTACCCGCATACTTAGCCGAGGATGTGCGCTCTTCCCTGCTCGATGATGCCCGTGTTGAATCTTGCCAAGGTATGTTGGCGTCACGCCATCCGATGCCACGCGCCGTATTTTGCTGGATCTTGTGGAGAGCCTTCTCGAAGATTTTCCGGATGCCTGGCCAGAAGTTCTCAGAGGCGAGGGAAACCCTGAAGTCCAAGCTTCGCGAACTGAGGAGTGCCGTGCTGCGGATAGCGAAGAACCGGACTTCCACGTGACGCTGGGGCAGTTTCCACTGCGAGAGGCAAGTGGGTGCTGGTGTGCTGGTTTGCGGCTATGTTGCCATAGGCCGACTGGCCGGACAGAAGCATCCGACAGCCTAGCGTGAGCTTACGAACTTTCGGAGATGGCTTGTGTTGGTCGTGCGCCACGCACCTCCGAGGCAGAGCGTGTCGTGACGAGCCACTGCGCACCTCGGCTTACTTTGTGTCATGTGCACTACGCCACTACGCAGAGGTCCGGCAGCTTTAGCCTTAAGCCTTAGCCTGGTCCCAGCTCGAAGTTGTTTGAGGTGCCCCTGCCCCTTACCTGGCACTGCACAGCTTTGGCCTTCTGCGCCCGGGCTAACTCCGAAGAGCCTTTCCGGTGCTTTGCCTGAATTCCTGAGTGTGCGGTGTTGTGTCCAAGATCAGGACAGAGTTTGGCAGATTTGGGCATGCCCGTAGACCCTGTCGGGGTGCTCGTCACACCCTGACCTGAGCTTCTTCGCCGGCCCATGCTTTACCGGAGAATCCCATGCAACTTCAGAATGCTATTCGCTGGAGGCTTGTCCAAAGCATTCCGCTGAGGCCATGCCTACGGCTAGCAGTGGTTCTTGCAAATCCTACCGCACTCGACGGCAACCATAGCTGCTGCTCCACAGTAGTCACCAGATGCCGAAGCCGAAGTGTGCACCGCAGCCATTTTGAAAAAGAAGCTTAACAGCATTTTCAAACGTGCCTTCCAGACCCGTCTTCTCTTTGCAGCAAGATGGGGTCCGCAGCATCCACCGACGTCAAGAACGAGATCCAGGCAAAGAGTGTGGATGAGATCGCTGCAGCTCTGAAAGAGCTGCCCGCAGATCAGCTTGCCAAGGTGAAGGATGCTCTGGCAACCGATGCGCCCAAAGGTGCTTGCCCCGGACCTATAGAGACAGGTCGCATTACTGTGGTTGCCAAGGGTTACAAAGGCCTGCTACCACAGCCTGCTGAGCCCAAATTCAAGGGTGCACTTTGCCAGATTTTCGTGCGAAGCCAGCCCTATGGGGGTTCAGACAAGAGCAGCAACGGTCACCGCTATGATTCCATGGTCTTTGCGAACGGTATGATCGCAAGCGGCATGAGCTGCCAGTTGATCCACTACACGCATGAAGAGCACGATACCTTCTTTGAGCTTTGCAAAGGCTTCAACTTCATCATCGTCCGTTGCAACCCAGGTCAAATCAAGGCGGATGGCGGCGACCAGCAGAAGTTTGATGACGGGATGCGTGAGCTTCGAAAGGCCGGCATCCAGGTCTGGCCGTCGCCCGACGTGATGGAGAAGATGGGCGCCAAGGATGCCTTGTGCAAGGTTGCAACCTTGAACATTGGCTTGGAGGACACCTTGGCATACTACACTCCCGAAGAGTTTGCGGCTGGCTTCAAGAAGACCATGGCCTTTCAGCCGCGTGTGATTAAGCAGAACCGCGGCTCATCCGGGGAGGGCATCTGGATCATCAAGCTGGCCGAGGGCAACTACTGCAAGGAGTACGGTGAGAGGTCCTGCGAGGATGGCGAGGTCCTCAAGCTCATGGAGGCGAACGACAACCACGAGGAGACCCACACCGTGGCCGAGTTCATCGAGTTCTGCGTGAGCGGCCGATCAGACAAGTCCGGAGAGTGGACCTCCAAGGGTGTCGGCAAGTACTTGGAGGGTGGCAAGGAGGCCGGTGGCCAGCTCGTGGACCAACGCTTCTGCCCACGTATTGTGGAAGGAGAGCTGCGCTACAACCTTATTGTTGATTCATTGGTTGGCATCATCCACAAGAAGCCCAAGGAGGGCGGCATCTCGGCCGTGGGCGGAACCGGCTCCATCTACACCTACTATGGTCCCGAGGAGGCATCCTTCAAGACGCTGACGGACAACTTCTTGCAGAAGGACTTGCCCAAGGTGATGCCATCTCTCGAGCTGGCTGAGGAGCCGGTCCCTCTTTGGTGGACCACGGACTTCATCCTCGCATCCCCAGAAGGCACGCCTAAGGAAGAGGAGAAGTGGATCGTCGGCGAGTTCAATTGCTCCTGTGTCGGAGTCTCCCGCTGTCTTGCGGCGTACTGCAAGGATGACACCCCAACGGCTTGCTGGGATGATATCACAGAGGAGGACAAGGCGGAGGCCAAGAAGTACGGGGATTTGATGGGCGAGAAGGCTCTGGGAATCCTGTCCAAGTGAGAGGCCAAAGGCCCCCGTGCGTTCTGGCTTGCAAGCGCAAGATCCCGCCCGCCCGGCGCCGCCTGGCTGTCTCTCTCACCCCTCTCCCTTTCACGCCCAAAAGGAAGGCTTAAGAGCCGCTAAGCTGCTTCTTTTTTCTGCTTCCCTTCTGCAGCGATGGTCCCTCTGCATCTTGGACCTCCGCCAATGCAGGCAGTCCAGAACACGGTGCAGACAGATCTCCCAGTGTCAGAGTCAGGGCTTGTTCTTCAATCATGGCATGGATGTAATGCTGCAAAAGGGATTTGGGCCTTGCTTGACCACGGCTTTTCCGGCTTTGTCACATGTGCTCAAAAGGATGATCCTTCTGAAAACTCTGGCGGCCGGCCAGCGAGTGTATCCCACCGAAGGTGGATGGCCCCATGTGCATCCTGACGACCGAATTCGTCCGAGAGCAAAAGGGACCCTGTGCAAGCTGGCTGGTTTCTTGTGCTCTGTAACGTGCTGTAGCCCCCATTCTGCTATGCAATGCTAGCGCCAGACACCTCACTTCCGGCAGGCCTTTCTACCCACCAGCGCGACGTCTGCCCAGCTATTCGTAACTGAGCTGAGCTGTGATGGATGCGCTTCATTTGGGGTAACTTTTGGGGTCTACACGCAGTCCAAGGTGCACTCCGACAGGCAACATCTTAAAGTCTTAAAGCAAGGGTAAAAGACTGCTGGATGTGCTTTGTGATCTTCAAGTGAAGCCGCGTGCGGTTCGGGAGCTTCGACGGAAGGTAACGCATGTCTGCTGCCTCTCACAGATGCGTTGCTACTAATGCCCGGAATCTTGAGTACCATTCTTCCACTCGTCGGTGGTGCGGACGGAGGCTTCTTCCCTCGCATGCCTGGTGTACAGTTGTCGAGGCGGGTCAGATGTTCAGGAGATGTGGACGGGAAAACCCCTGAGAAGGTTGCATTCGCAATATATAAGCCTTCAATGAGCATCTCCACTCGAACTTGACAGCGGTGCCCGACAATCGGTTAAACCCAGCGTCAACTGATCACGAAAGCTACATAACATCATATAACATCTTTGGAGCTAGTGTACGTTATGGTCCTCCTTGCCCCCTCCTTCACCCCCTCAAGCGGTCAGTACACAGCACAACAAAAGACAGAGCCGCTATCATTATGCAACATAGACACAGCGTGCATCTGCACAGCTGAAGATAGCAGCATTGCCTAAGACGGTTTCATGTCATTTTCACCGCATGCTTCTTTTCCGACCCGTTGTTGGCAAGCACAGGCATCGACGAGCTTGTGGAGGGCGAGGGTAGACAAACATGTCAGAGTTGTTAATGTTGCTTGCGTTGTGGTGTGTCGTTCAGCGCAGGTCTAGGTTGTTGCAAACTCAAGTTCTCGGTTAAATTTGTGTGTGTGTGTATATATATATATGTATAGATGATTGCCAGTTCGCAGCACAGCATACCAGGAGCAATGCATCATCTGATGCGCGGCTTTGTAGTACACTGCTATCTTCCGTCCCCCTAGCTTTCGTCCACTCTGCTCTAAAATCCGAGTGGCCCACCAGCATACTTGCACCCATCTGGGTAGCTAACCGACACTAACCGACGTAGTTGCACAGCAAGCTTTCGGAATCATGCGTATGATTTTTCAAACTTCCTGTGCACAGTGTTTTTGGAGGCATGATTGGAAATGCTCTGCCCTGTTTTTTGCGAACAGTCTAGATCGCACATGTGCTGGCAATGCTGAAATCGACTGTTCCACCGCTTCGTTTTAGCAAGAGAATACGGTGAGGCGTCGCGAGGATACGTCTCTGGAGGGAGACGAGCTGAACCAAGCGATAAAGTTAAGCTACATTCGCGGTCAGCAGATGGTTTTTCATGCGGAGATGAGGTTCGGAGAGGATGCATGTAGTCGTCGATGCTATGCCATAAAAAAGGTAGTGGCCACCAGTGAGCTGCTGAAGCGAAAAACCCAAGCTTGACTGCTGGCAGTCTGCTCGTGACTGCTGTGTAGTGTAGATGCAGGAGAGGCAGGACCTGTTGCTAAATTAGCGGATAAGGCTGTAGAGAATAAGCCAGGCGCCGGTTCTGCGGCAGCAGTAGTGGAATGTCGTTCACCATGATCCGGCAGGCGCTGCCGGTGGGAGATGCGGCGCGAATGACGAGGCTGCTCCAGCGGAAGGCCGCTTGAAGTTGAAGGCCTGTAGCATTGCGGGTTGCAAGGCAAGTTTTGCAGTCGATCAGAGTACCCACATTTCGCTAGGTAAGCGCTGGTGGTTCAGGGTGAGCTCAGCTCTCTTACCGCCTCTTTATCAGAAAAGGGCTCGGAGATCCATGAATGAAGCGTTCGCTCAGGGCACGGCTTGGAAAGAAGACTGGTGGCACAAACTGAATGAAGAGTACTTCAACGTGGAGACTCAGCGGCCACTCGGAAGCCCAATAGGGTGTGCCGTCCGGAGACGGGGGGGCGCCTGGGGGAATGGATTCTGCTACGTCGCTAGGTCGTGCAAGCAATTCAATGAGGCAGGGGATTGCGAGGCAGGGTGAACTGTGGATCGGCAATCGCCATCGAGAGATTCCGAATCGAGGTTACAAAAGCGACCCCCCGAGCTTTCTTTCTGCTCGCTGGCAGCTGCGGCGGCTGAAAGTGCAAGCCTGCGCTGCGTTGCGGCCGCTTCGGCCGTCTCTGGGAGCAAGGAGGAGCCTGAAAGATTGAAACTTGAAGCTTTCAGCAGCTTTCATGATTCAAGCTAGCCGAAGGTTCACAGGGCCTCGGTTTAGGCTTTGGTGGATGATCTGACGTCAAATCTGACAGTTTGATTGGACGTGCTCTTAATGCGACAACAGCTGCATTCCAGCGTGTTGAAACGACAGACAGAAAGCCCATGCTTCCTGAAGAACCGGCAGCATGTGCACTCGATCAACGCAGGCAGCCCCCATCTTCGAGTGCAGGGTCGTGCGGGAGTTTGAAGCGCACTGCACAGTCCCGTGGCTCCAACTTTGCATTCCTGGCCCAGGGCCGTGTATCTAAGCCCGCAAGTAATGCGACCCTGTCCGAGTGCCAGACCACAGACAAACTTGCAACTGGCACCAGGTTCGCCAGGAGGTCCTGGCAATGCCGTTCCAGACGGCCAGCTGTGTGCGGCACAGCGACTCACGCTTGCTGGCGGCGGGGGAAATCAGCAGCAAAGAGAGTGGCCCTTCGGTGTGAAGATTGGTGGATTGTTTCCAGCTTCCCACCACTCATATTTGTCATCCCGACCCGAACGGCAGGACCCTTCAACTGTTTTCTTCATGAACACAGTCGTTCTGACTCTGAGAGATGCTAACAGGGAATGGAAGGCTCCCTTCCATCCTTGCAGCTCGCAGTCTCTGTCCGAGTTCTTGGCTCCTTCCTCGCAGTACAAGAGGAAACAAGTCTCCGTAGATTATGGATGGAGGATCTCGCAAGGGCTTCGTTCCGAAAATTTCGCCATCGGGCAGATATCCGTATTTCTTCCTACACCCCACACCTTCCGACATCTGAAACTGAAACTGCTGTTCTCCCTGAGGCCTGGCAATCTGGAATGTGGACGGCTTGAACGAGAAGCCTCGATTTTGCAAGATTCGGGGCCATATCCACAGCATCGACCTCTGGCAAGACACCCTCCTTGTGCTTGGGAAAGGACTGCATTCTTCATTCTTTTATGGTTTGTTGGGGATGCCGGTAGCCGGGTCTTGGCAGTGGCGTTGAAACTTCAACTTGCACTTCAGTCGAGAGCATAAAATGGAATAGCAATGTCCGAGCAGACTCCTGTTTAAATGCCTGCATTTTCATAGGCATAGACTCGACCTCGTTGTGCCATTCTCAGGCTTAATGGCCCCCCTTGATGGATCCTGCACTCTGCCTTTGCCAACGGACCCGCTGTAGTCTAGGTGATAACCTTGTGTCCAGGGGGTGTTGCAACCTTAAGCCGAAGGAGGCTCGCTTGCCTTGCACGACCTCTTGGATCCTCGTGCCACGCCGACCTCCCTCGGACCGATGCCCAGTTCTGGTGGGAAATAACCTCGACGGTCCTGCTGCTCACAAGTCATACAGGCCTGCGGCGACCAGAAACATCATCGTGACAGGGCCAGAAGAACAGTGGTAGGGGAGGACTGCCCTTAGCAACAAGTGCCGAAGAAACAGGCGGCAGGAACAGGATGACAAAGGATGACAAACAGCAGCACATAAGAGCAACGACAGCCATAAAAGCAGCAACACCAGCAACATCATCACCAACAGTGTGAAGTGACGTGCAAGTGTACCGGTGCAGACGGCCGAAAAGCCTCAGATCCTGAGGCCGCAAGGGTGATGGGGCCGCGCGGGACGCCCACTGGATGGCTGGAGGGCGCGTGGTGGCGGCCTTCGCCCAGAAGGCAAGGCGGATTGGCCTGGAGGGGCCGAAGCCTTGTCTTTGGACTTCTCTGTGGCCCTGCCTGCAGGTCCGTGTGATCGACCTGGAGGCCGCCTGTCGCGGAGTGCAAAGCTGCTGCGTCCAGATCAGTGGATGTTCCAAAAGCTTTCGGCCAGGCTGACGGCGGTCAGAGCTGCGACATTACCAGCACACTTTCGCGCCCGGTCATTGCCCCGCTAGATGCAGACCACGTGGCCCTAAGCGGGCAGTCCGGCTGTGTCATTTGGGATCTCAGAAAGTGGCTCAGCCGAAGCAGGGTTGTCGTACTGCTAGACTTCGTGCCCCAGAACTGAGCCCGGAAGTGGAGAGTCGTGTCGCTAAGGTCCGCTTCAGCCATGGAGGTTCCCTGGTCGTCCTCCTTCTCGTGCACGGCCATCGCAGCCAGTGGGGCCAATGGCCTTCTGATAGGTGGCTGGGGTGCCGATTGCAGCCCAGTGCACACTTTGGACCTGCGGATGCCAACGGCCCGCGAGGCCACTCGTTTGCAGAAGTCCGGACACGGAGCAGGGCGACCCAAATGCTCTCAGGCCATCCTTCCGATTCCTGGACACAAGCTGCGGGCAGACAAGGCAGGCTCGGAGCGGTTTTCTACAATCTGAAAAAGGTGCGTATATTTGGTATCCTTCGGGATCGCTTCCATCCCGTGACTCAAGGTGTTTGCAGGAAGCTCCTGCTTTTCCGCACAGCTTCTTGACTGCAAGTGCTTCCCCGATTCACAAATCCAACCATGCAGAGTTTGAAGGCAGTCGACTTTTGCAAGCTGCCATGTGCACCGTGTTTGTACGAGGTTGGTGTGTCGTCTTTCGCGCATAGGATGGAGGGTCGAGCGAACCCGAGGTTTGATGATGGCAGCCTGGCCACTTGGCACACCGAGAGCCATTCTTCGCTGGGCTGGTGGCGCAACTCCCACTGCCCGTTCCTCAGGTGCTTGAGAGAGGCTTCCAAGAACTGCTGCTGCTGCTGATGCGTTGCGGCTGCAGCTGCCAGTGAGAAAGCTGTTAGCCAAAACAGTACCAGCAAGAACCTGTAGCTATGGCACATTACGCCACTCCGAGAAGGCGGCATAAAGATCGAACAACAGGACTACCACGGATTCAAAGATTGGAGCAGCCCGGCGCTTTGATTGCTCAAGACGTGTCGGCAAGAGCTCACAACTACTGCATAACACGCAAGATCTGAGATTCGAGCGAAATGCAGTATCGTCTCAATCCTAAACGACTCGCAATCCCCTGAGCGACTAAATGGAATGACCCGGGTGACTGCCTATTGTCTTCCTATTCCTTGAAGCACATCATGCAGCACATCTGGTAGTTGCCAAGAGCAGTGGGCAGCCATCGAAAGAGGTGAGAAGATAGCACCGGAAAACCTTGGCACATTTTCCATGCTCAATGCAGCAGAGTTGCGTTTCCAGGCTTGTCCCAACCCACCGTCGAGCACCGCAACTGGCACGGCCTGGCCGCCGCCGGCGCCGGGCGGCTGAGAGTGGCGATGCCAGGCCGATTTCTAGGGCTCCTGCAGTTGGATCGACTCGTTTTCCGGGTTTAAAGAGTGATTATTTCTGGTATGTCGGAGACGGGAACATGACGAGGCTAGGGCTAGGAGATCACAGACGACGGTTCGACAGCAAATACTTCCTTCGGAGTCTGCTCCGGAAGAAGAAGAAGTTGGCACTAGCACCACCTCGTCCAACGTCGTTGCCACCTCATGCTGTCAGCTTGCGCTTTCTTTCTCCTCCTCCCAAGGCGTGAAAGCGACTCTTCAGAGGGGCCATGCGAAGAAGGAAGTCAAGGCCGCCTTGAGTCAGGTGACAAGTTGCTCCTGAAAGTGCGTACTTGCGGAGAGGGAAGGCTGTGGCCCACTCCAGTTCGGCACATACAGTCCACACGTTGGCAATTCCTACACGAAGCCCTCTGGAGCCATTTTGGCTCAGGTCAATCTCAAACCATCGCACGTGTGGGTAGTGCTAAAGGCCTTCCGAACATGAAAAGTTTTGCAGCTTTCGCGCTGTTGGCGGTGACGAGCCAGGCAAGCGAAGATGCAGAGCGGGCTCGAATTCTGTCCGAAATCGACGCGCTCCGAGGCCAACTTCAGAAGCAGCGTACGATCATCCAGCAGCAGTTCGCCCAGCTCGCCAACCTTGAGGAAGACGAGGAGCGTCGCCTGCAGACCGTTGGCAACGTCACAGCGACTGCCTGGGCAACAGAGAAAGCCGCTCTTGAAGCGACTGACGGGAGCATGGCGGCGGCCATGGACACTCTTTGGCTCTGCTTGTGCGGAGCCTTAGTCATGTTCCTTGGTTGTTCCTAATACAGTTTGATTCTTCTGGAGATGTTAAACCCAACGTCCAACAAGCTTGCAGCAAGACTCCAGGTTCATGCATGCCGGCTTTGCCATGCTGGAGACCGGATGCTGTCGTGCCAAGAATGCATCCAACGTTTTGATGAAGAACTTGGTGAAGCTGGGCTCGAAGTTATTCTTGCATTGAGCGCAGCTTCTTCTATATCATAGGAGCCATCTAGCTTAAGCATGTCTGCTTCTTCATGGAATGACACCATGGCTTAGTCGACTTTGAAATTCATGGAAAGTTTGCGCTGCGACAACGCTTCGGCTTTGACATGGGGGGAAGCCGCTGGGGTCGCCCACCGGATTTGGGCGACGATCGCTGACTCCTTGTGGTGAGGGCGATCTGTTGGTAACGTCGGCACCTTTGGCTCACCTCTTTCCTTGGAAACGTTGCGTCGGCACGTTCAGTTGGGGACAATGTTGCGCTCTCGACCGGGCAGTTTCTGCCTCCCACAGTCCACGAGCATCCTGTGCTGCTCTGTCGACTTTCAAAAAGCAGCCCCCCAAGCTTCATGGAAAGTTTGTGTCGGCACGTTTGGTATGTGCATGCGTATCTCTGTTCTCCCCGTGGGCACTGTTTTCGCTACCACCGACAGGACAGGGCGGGTCTCTTTGCCGCCTCCACTCCAGAGGCATTCCCGGGTGCTTTAGTCGAGTCTAAACTTGTCACCGTTTAGCTCAGTGGTCAGTGCATGCGTTTGTCAGCTCTTCCTTTGGCTTGACAAGGCGTTTCTTTGGTTTCGCCCTTAGTCGACTCTAAAATGTGCTGTTTAGCGGTTTTGACCGCCTCCCACAGTCCACGAGTGTCGATTGGTGCTTTGTCGACTCAAAAAAAGACCACATTTAGCTCAGATTTCGCCTCCGGTCCACGGGCATCATTGAGTGCTTTGTCGACTCTCAAAATGTATCGGTTTAATCTGCGCTGGCACGGTTGAGTCTGTGCATGTGATCGTCTTTGCAGCCTCTGATTTGAGCTTCACTTTATGCTGCGGGACATGGCATTACTGAAGTTGCACCTCTCCTTCCACGGGCATCCGAGGGTGCTCAGTCGACGTTGAAATTTCTGCGCTTAGCTCGTTCCGGGCGTCACCCTTCTTTGGCGCCGCCGTCGACGTTAAACACCTCCAAAAAAAAAAAACTTAGCTCAGGAACGTATGTGTTGGCACGATTGGCTGGTGGGTGCTTGGCTATGCCTTTGCTTATGGCGGCGGCATCAACCGGTTCATTGGCACCACAAACTTCCTGGGAGAGGGTTTCTACACGAAGGATGCGTCCGGAAATATTCTGGCCCCAGGTTGTGCCAACAACGCTTGCCAGAGCACGGCACTTGCATGGTTTTTTCAGTGGCTAGGCACCGATTTGGGATGGTTTTTGATTTCCCTTATTGTTTGAAAGGCTTGGGTGCTGCGAAAATCGACACCTATAAGGTGGGCATTTTGCACAGCTGGAGCCACGATCGTGAGCGGAGCCGTTGCTGAGCGCGTCCAGGGTCCAACATATGCCAGCTATGCTTTCGTCATGACCTCTTTGATTTATCCGGTGGTGGTGCATTGGGGTTGGAGTGGCAGCGGCTTCCTTGGAGACATCCTGGATGTCGGCGTTTCTCAGCTGTTCTTAGATAACTTTCAATAACTTATGACTTCATCCCTTGAAAAACTGCTTCGTGTATTCAGCCATGCAGGAGGCAAAAAAATCCCTTGAAAAATATAATTCAGATGACACTAGATCCATGTTGGAAACTGTGTGGATTCCGATGACAGCCAAGGTCATGGATTTCGCCGGCAGTGGCATCGTGCACCTGACTGGCGGAGTCAGTGGCCTTGCAGGAACCATAGTGTTGGGGCCACGCAAAGGGCGCTTTGTCAACCCAGAAGAGTTTGAGCCTCATAACCTTCCACTGGTGGTCTTCGGAACGTTTGCACTGTGGTTTGGCTGGTATGGATTCAACCCGGGTTCAACCCTGGGCATGTCCGACGGCGCAACCGGTGCACTGGCGGCCCAGGTGGCAATGAACACCACAATCGCTGCAGCCACGGGCGGCATCACTGTCTTCCTCCTACGGTACATCATCCTTCGCAAGTATGATGCGCCTTGGACTTTGTAACAGTTTTGACTTATTTGAAAGACCGCGGAAGCACACATGGAAACCACAAGCATAGTTTCTAAACCGGCCCTCAGGTGGGCGGGCTCTGCAATGGCATCTTGGCAGGGCTTGTTTCAATCACGGCACCGTGCGGTAACATTGAATGTGGCAGTGCATTTGCCGTCGGCTTCATCGGTGCCCTCGTCTACCAGGGATCCTCCATGCTCCTCCAGAAGCTGAAGATTGACGACCCTGTGGATGCAAGCCCAGTCCACGGCTTCTGCGGAATCTGGGGCGTGCTAGCTGCTGGTCTCTTCGACTGGGGCAAGGGCTTCGATCACTTCCACGGCTGGAGCGGCTGGGGTTGCATGACGGATGACAACGGTGCCTGCCAGACGGACATCAACGGTTCAGCCCTCGGTGCGCAAGTCATCCTGATTCTCATGGTGATCGCCTGGGCCGGCACGATCTCGGCCTTGACCTTTGCCCTTCTGAAGTGGTGGGGAGCCTTGCGGATTTCGGAGGACACGGAGGACATGGGCCTCGACGCCAAGGCGCACTCGCCTCCGAAGGCCTACGCCCTCGCTGCTTGAGCGACCCATAACCATGCAAAAGCCAAAGGCCCGATAACGTCAGAATGTGTAGGAGTGGAGCTCTTACACATCCGACATTTCTAGGACTCTTCGAGTCACATGACTGGGTTCTAGACACGCAAGAGTGTGTGCGAAGATGCCCGCTCTTTCCTGTTTCGCGGAGCTGTAGCATAATCAGTCTGGGTAGCTCCTAGAAATCGCATCCTTCGCCAGGACATTGCAGGACACAAACCCGGAAGCATGCTCCCGCCCGCCTCTGCGAGTCGATTTTCTTGCATGAATTAAGCCACGAACTGACCACTGATGCTGAGAACAAAGACTTGCTGAAATCTGTTTGGAGCGATCTGATGCACTTACGTCACATGCCGAAGTCGGGTCGGGTAAGGGGACGTTTCGGAGCATCCGGGCTACGGTAAGGGGTGCTGTCAACGAATTGGCTGCCGCTCGGCTTTCTGGAGTGGAAAGATGACTTAGTTGCTCGTAGATGCTGCGCATTCTTTCAGTGTGGAATGTTGCAAGTGTTGCATCTAGGACTGTGAGCTACGAGTAGTAGCCCGTTTATGTCGTTTGAGGGTCGGAGCTTGGACAAATAACCGAAATCCTGAGCTCCAATGGTCCAAGTCAGGCAACACGGCCAGTGCCCACGTCATCTCCGCAGCCGGCCCAGGGCCCAAAGCCAAGGCCAAAGTTTCGAATATGATGGGATGTAGGGCTTAGGCTAAACCAGTTCAGGGGTTCAAGGTCTAGGACTCGAGCTCTTGCTTTGAATGCGCCGCATAGATCCGCATAGTATGTGTGCAGCGTGTGAGCTCTGCAGGGCAATCGGCATGTAAAGTGACGTGATGCCGACTGCTCGCACAGGCTTCGCACCAGCGAAGATGTTTATCACCGGCTCATTCACGACAAGCGCTTTCGTGCTCCGAAGGTGATGATGGGCCCTTCATAAGCATTCACTATAGGGGGCGGAAATAAAAACAGGGGGCCTATTGGCCTCGAATGGCATCGAATCAGCTTTCGGTGGCGTTTTCATTCCGGGCTCTTGTGGGGTCAGGCCGTGCTCTTGCCCCTGGATTTATTTCAGGATCAAGTGCGACCAGCTGAGAACATGAACTATTTCCGCCATCTTCCCCAACTTGAACCCACAGGGCCCAAACTTGTTCGGAATCACGCGAACCTTCGGGCCACCAAAATTCATTCTCTGATAGCGTCAGGCCCAAGGACTCAAGGACGTAATTGGCATTAGTTCCAGGGGCTTAACCCGGAGGTGCACTACAACCCCCAGCCGACATTCATTCGCATGAGTCTCCACATGAGCCCGCAGTGTGTTACACCGAGGCTACGAGGATCGCTTCCTCGGCCCGCTGGAGGTGAAGCTGCTGGCCTTCCGGCCAGGCCAGGCCAGGGTCAAGGGTTTCTTTGTTTGTTTGCTTGTTTGTTGGCGATTTGAGGGCATCCAGCCCGAGTTTGCATATGCAGAAGCAGAGCACTACGTGCTCACAAGGCTTGAGGTCTAAGCTGGAGCAGACCGGGCATCCCAAGAATGTCGAACGCTCCAGGCGGGTTTCAATTGGTTTCCGAAGCCAAGGCCATGAAGGACAGCGTTCACTCACCGGAAGCCTTGGCCTGCAAGGTGGCGACATACCCTACCACCGGGTCTACTATTTCAGAGAGGAGACCAAGGGTTCTGGACGGGAGATTCTCAGCTTGGGGAGCGGGGATATGTTGGGGATGCTTCGGCGCATTTCGACAGGATGCTTGCAATCAAGGCGGGGGCTGTAGCAGAGCTCTGGCATCTGTCAAGAGAATTCTCTTCTTGAGGAGGGGGAGGTGCTTTGGGACCGGCGAGCCCGTTTGGATCGCGTCTTCGGAACTGGCGAGGCAGCGAAGTCGACATGGCTTCTCTGCATGTGTCAACGTATGCAAACGCCTAGTATGCATTTGTGTAGACTATGCACGCGACGTGCTTGCCTCCGTTGGCACATCTGCATGTATGTACATAGTTGCCAAGGGCCCCAGAGAATGCAGTGCGTGTCAGACGGAAAGCAGCATGCGCGGCTTTGCGCATGTATCCCTCTTCGATATGCGCAGGACAAGGCTGCTGATGAGAGCTACCGTATAGAGTCATGGAGTAGTTTTTCACAGAGTCAGCCAGCTGATCAAATCATGCAAGGGATGTGGAGCACATGTTTGTATCTCGCTTTTTCTCCATGTCTCTCCCTCACTCCCTCGATTTGTCCTTCTGGTTTCCTCTCCGCTTCTCTCCCTCGCTCCCTCTCCCTCGGTCCCTCTCTCCCTCTGTTCCTCTCTCCCGCGCTCCCGCTCTCGCTCTCTTTCTTCTTGGTTTTGTTTATTTTTTCTGTCTCTCTCTCGCTCTCTCTCCCTCCATACGCCTCGCTCCGTCTCCAGCCTCGCTCACTCACTCGCATCACTTTGAGCACGTTGGGATTTCTGTCTAAAGGCGGGACATGTTTGTTGGTAGGGTCAGGATGCTGACAAACTTTGGAGGGCTTCCGCGTCAGGCCATGTCCCACGCAGCGGCAGCGCAGACCAAGGCGCTTTGCAAGCAGAAGGCTTTGTACCAAAGCTTCGTCTGCTTAGGTCTACTTCTCTCGTAAGCCTCAAAGACCTTGTGTCGTCGATTTGCACCGACTGGCTTTGAAGTTCCAAGCCCATCGCCCTGGCCGGGACGTTAGATCGGGCACAAGGTTTTCGACTAGAATAGATCAGAACCCGCAGTTTTGCTGAAGCCACATAGACGTGGAATCCCGCGAGGAAGCGATCGGCCGGGCTAAGCAGACGATGATTAAGATTGACAAGGGCCTTATCAAGGCGTGCCGGGAGGGCCGACAGAAACACCAAGACGGTTTGGAGGATCCACTGGAGATGATTCTCGCAGCTTTTCGGATTCTGCTCATTCGACCGCCCTTTGTCGATGCTGAGCGTGGAAAGGTGCGCGGGAGCCAGACTGAGGATCGAAAGGCTCGGACTGGTTCCCTGGAATGGAGACATGATCTGATGCCAGACTAAGATAATGCGAACTTGCACCAACCAGGTGGACTTGGTGCAGGTTATGTCATCACACGCCATCTTTAAGGATACTTGTACCATGTGCTGCTACTTTGGACGCCGCGCGACATGTAGAAGTGTGTCGTGCTGTGCAATGTGAATCAATGTGAGTCATGAGGTGTTCTTCCTTGGTGTGCCTGGTTAAGCTAAATTTTGACACGCTGCGACCAGCACTCTGGAGACCCCGGGTCCTGCCGTGCGGAGGTCAAAGCAGAAGAGATACCGGTCATGAAGTACTTCCCGGAGGTCCGACAGCTGAGCAGAGCTTCCCAACTAGAAGCGTCGTTGGAACATCTCTGAGCCCTGCAACGCTGAGCCTTGGTCCCACATCACAAGTTGCATACTCGCATGAAGTAACAACCACTCCTCCCAGCGAACAGCAGAGGAGGAAGCCTGGCTGCCATTCCCTGCAGCTGCCGCTGCCGTAGAATTGACACAGCTCCGAGTGTCCTGGCCAGCATTTTTCTCTTGCCACCAGTTCTACAGGCACAAACAAGAAGAGGCCAGCATCAAGAGGGGCTCCCTCTGCATAAGGGCTAAAACGACAGGATACTGCACAGCTAGGTCCAGCTAGGTCCTGAGCCTCAGCCAACTGCTCCGTCACAAAGCGGCCTCGGATATCATTGGTATCAGAGACCAGTCGTTGAAGCCACGGTCGAAACGCCGGCATCGTGAGCATGAGCATCAGCAGAGCGTTGCAGAGCAGCACCATGAGCATCAGATTGGGGCTGCCGTTGCACACCGACGGTGAATGGCTAGCCTCATCGATGCGGCACTGGCAGTGCACGTAGCTCGGGGTTGCTCGTGACCATCAGCTGTGGGTTCGAGCATCCAAACATCAGAACTCAAGCATTCCCAGCATTGTCTTGGCAGACAATTGGGGTCACGAGCACCAGATGGATGGACAAGGAACGGCCAGATCATGGATGCGGTGAGATCGAACAGCTTCTGCCAAACTCTTTTTTACTGCCAGGTTGAAAGTTGGGAAGAATTGTAGGTTTGGTAGTTCCGAACAGAGGCACCATCGAACCTGCAGGAATGTGCCTGCCATTTTCGAAGTCACTTGTGGGTTTAGGGTTTAGGTCCCTGGTGACTTGGAAGATTCAGATGCCATCGCTAAAGATTCGTGTCAACAAGATGAGGTCGCTGGTGGTAGACGTGATTGTGCAGAGACTGGAGGGGAGATCTGAAGAAGATCGCATAAGAAGTTTCCGTCTTTGAAGCAAGGTTGAAAATTCAAGGCTGAGTATCCCGATGCGAACAGGCGAGTGACAAACCGATTGAAGATGATCTATTGATCTCAACCTTGACGCTGAACACCACGGGCCACTACGGGCCCCTTGCGGCAACACCCTAGAGATAACACCGAGAGCAACACACTTCCCCCGACAGCCGTAGATGTGATGACATGGTCTCAGCTGCACAAAGCGCAGACACAGTACCACTATGAGCTTTGCTGCCCCGGGCCAGGGGCCAGCCTTATTGAGCACGAATTAGAAAAGTAATCGGATCGCACCGCAAACAACACGGAATGCTTTGGTTGCGAGAAGAGCGGCGTAGGCGTGAAGGAATCTCGCCGTCCTGTCTCTGCAAGAGCTCGACAAAACGAAAGGCCGAGAACTCTCTTACAGCTGTGTCCCAGGTTTCTGCTCAAGCTGCAATGCACATCTTTTTGGATTTTCTGTTAGTGTTTTGTTTTGGGTGCTTAGTGCCTACGGACACCAAGACTCAACAGCTTGTCCGAGACCGAGAGCGTAACCGCTGGGCTTGTCACAGGGGATTAATAAGCCGAGGTGAAACTATTGAATAAGCATGTCTACATTGTCTAAGTATGTGGCTAGGGTGGCTCTAAATAACCGCCGGCCTCGGGACAGTCCCGAACCAGGTCCTAACGTTCAATGTCCTTTTCGAGCTGTTTGGGGACATCGAGACACACATGGAGGCCGACCTATGCCACAATCCCGACACAGGCAAGTAGCATCATCTCGTAAACTAAAGGTTCGGACGCAGCGCGGGTTCAAGAAACAGGGTTAGTCGCCAGTAGTTGGGTTGGGTGTTGACATGTCTTTTGCTGAACCGCTCTGGAGCTTTGCAGGCAAGATTGGTGCAGATTTTCCGGGAGCTATCGCATTGTGGAGCGGACATCATGGCTTTGCAAGAGGCAGGTTAACTCACGAAGAAATTCATGCCAAGGATGCAGCGAAAGAGGCTTTGCAAGAGGCAGCGGGGGTGCGTGATCTCCCCGTCAGCCCCAGAGAAGAGGAGAGAGATGGCTGTAGCGACTGCATTGGGACGTGCAAAGCCCAAGGCTGGGGAGCTCTAAGTTCTGAGTCTCGGACTTCGATGTGTCTGTTCACAGCAGGTCACCCCGCCATTCGCAGAGGCGCTTCTATCGCAGCCGTGGGTGCGGGAGCAGTGCTGGTCCAGCGCAGGCGCAAATTCCACAGCCACTTGCTCCCAGAAGATCATCTGACATTGAGTCGCACAGCACGACGTCACGAATCGATTCGAGGCAGTTGACCCGTCGGGCCAGCTCATCTTGTCCAGGGTCCCCATGGAGTCAGCCTGTCTGGCGCGCAGAAGCCTCAGATAGCGGTTGATAGCCCTTGCCTGGGATCAACGCCGCAAGTGGCGGTGTAACATGTTGCTGTTAGCCCGTATTGCAACTTTTGGCCTGTGTTCATGCTTGGCTCGTGGCTTTCTTTGGTTAGGTAAGCCAGTCACAGCAGCGCTTGCCCGTTCTTCGGCTCTCAGGAATCAGCCCTCACAAGACTGTTGTCCTGGCATCCTTTCCCGTCGTGCTGGGTGAGAGCCGGGCTGTGCCGTGGCAGAATAGAAGTGCAGTGTGCATGCTTGTGTGGTCCCATGCCGTGTTGCCAAAAAGCCATTCAGCCGATAAGCGAATCAGCCATCCAACAAGCCAAGAATCCGATAAGCAATTCCGAGAGGAAACGCATAAACTTCCGCTCAACACTCAATCACCCCTATTCCCCTGTGTAGTTTGAATGCGAGCGTTGACCTCGTCCGGCTGTGCCCTCGCGTAAAATCTAAGCCATTGAAGCTGATCTCCCTTATTGGCTTATCGGCAGCATCGCAGTTGGAAAACCAAGTTTGCGCGCACTGCCAGGCCCCGACGTCTCTTAGTGGCACTGCACCCCCTCCTTGCAGAGGTCACGATGGCCAACCTCCATCTGTCGGCAGATTCGCAGAAGAATCTGCAGCAGCCGTCCCGCCGCAGCCAACGCCAGGAGCAGCTGCGAGCTTGCGAGAACTTGCTCTTGGAAAGGCACAAATCGATCAAAGTGCATCCTTGTCCCAGAAGCCATGGCGGCCATAGCGTAATTACTATGCACCTCCGACCCTTGTTTAAGGTAAGAGAGGCACCAATGACTCCTGAGACTTTGCTAGTTTCAGGCTTCGGACATGCTTAAAACTCGGGTTTTAGCTTGATTCAGGGAAACTCTGCGTCGGGACCTCATCTGTGAGCTGGTGACAGGTTCAAGGTTGCTTGCTTGGCCCAACCATGATAACGTCCACCCCGACCCCACCGTTCCCGCAGAGCATCCATGGCCCAACCATGATAACGTCCACCCCGAGTGCAGAGTTCAATGTCGCAGGGGCTTCATTGCTGGCCACGTACGACCGAACATGCACTTTGCTTGTCCACAGGGCCCAAGGCCTCTAAGGTCTGATGTGTCTGAAGACAGCTGATGCTTGCACTTGCGTCGTCAAATGTGTTCGGAGCCTTTGCTGTCTATGCTATAGGTTTTCCTACTATTCAGGGATGTCACAGAGATCAAGAGCCTCTTTCGGCAATACTAATGCTAATGATTTTTGCTTTCATGCGTTTTTCGCAATACAGAGCTCTTGCTCTTAATACTTCTCCTTATCATTAACTCTGGTGAACACGCACAAGCAACGAAGCCTAAAAACGTCATCAACGTAAACTGTTGCTTAAACGCTTGCTTCAGAATGTGCTCAAAACCACAGTAAAACGCACAAAATGCCCCATTCCAAGTGACCCCTCTCGAGGATCGCGCTCTTCCTTGAAACACATGTCCCAAGCAAATGTTTGCTGAAACCACAGTTTCGCGCCCGTTTAGGCCTGCACACCGAAAAACTCACACGCAAACCGTCAGGAGTCACTCGAGCCCCTGTTACCTTGTTTAAGTCCAGGCGCACAAACCCGCGCGAGGGACAAAGGATGCAAGCACTAAGACACCAAAGGCTGTGGGCCAACCACAGAAGCCGACCCAAGTTCTTCGCATGGTCTATGGGCACTAGTACGAGTCAACTGCCGGTCATTGGGCGCGTTTGTACAACCTGTTCTGCGGAACCGTGAGTACGTAGATTTGAGGACTCTATCCGAGTAGTGTCGTCTAGATCTATCCGACACCCAGACTAACAGGACGTGCTTGTCTGCAATGCAGGGCTTCAGTCGTGCCAAGCGGGAGCCAAAAACAGGACTTGCTAGGCGACTGGGTGTAGCGCATTCTGCCGTCCCCCGAGAACCATGCGCAGATGCTGCATGATGCGATGTCGTGTAGCACACCAAAGGCTTCACACTTTAAGCCCAACCCCCGAGCTGTGCCGAAGGTCAGGGCCCACTGACTTGACTTTGCTTCTGGGGGACTTCAACTCGGCCCCTGAGGTGGAGCCGGCCCAGTTCAGGACCGGAGGGGTTAGAAGGGGTTTAATGCCTGGGCTCCAAGAGTGAAACTAGCATTTTTTTCCTCTTCTCTGACATTCTTGAGTCTATCCTCATTTGTTGCTGACCCCCTCTCTCCCTCTCTCTGCACAGTGTGCTGCTTGCTTAGAAGGAGAATGGATTAAGACCATGCAGTAAACCCCCATTGTTTATTTATTGTCTAGCACGAAGCAGATCGCCAAGCATACTAACTGCAGTGAAGGCATCGTAGCGGCATAGTATAACCTGCTTCGGATTTGGAGGGGCTTTTCGGGGAAGAGTGGCAGATATTTGCTTTCCTTGTCAGTGCGGAACAAGGGTTAACGCAAAAACATCGGTTGATACATGCGTAGACAGCGAGATCGTTTGTTTTTGTACATACATGCAAGACACCAGTGCATGTACGTACCGGTGTGCGATTGTGAGGAAATGAAGCGTGCGTATGTCGAGACGCAGCTCCTGTGTGTACATGTACGCGCACGGTCACATTATAACTCTTTGCACATGTTTTCTTGGATACTCATGCGACCGTCTATGTTCATGCTTATACATACGTACATACATAAATACATATAAGTTCATACACATAGACACACATATTATATTCACAAGCATATATATATATATATATAAAACGTATATATCATATTATATATGTATATATGTATATATATATATGCACGTCATATCTACATATACATCTATAGATGTATACACATGCCATACATTATCTGTCCAGCTATGTGGAGAAGGTTTTTGACCGATGTTTCAGCCGGGCAGGACAAGTTTCGCAGATGTTTGGTTGGAAGCCAATCCCGACATGCTGGGGCACACCTTCGATCCCACACAGCGCTTTGGTGAGGCTAATTTTCTTCTGTGGCCATCGTTCAACCATTCTGCCTCTCAGCGTCGCTGATATGTAATTATGTCGAGCATCAGTCACACTCTTGCAGGATCGAGTGCTCTCCTTGAAATCTGAAGCCCTGCTGAGCCCTGCACCCTGGACCCACTGGACACCCTAAGTCACTCTACTGTAAACGAACCTCTAGGAATGCTGTCGCGCGGCGTGTGGTTACGGCTGTGGGTGGTGCACCGGATCCCCGGCGACTGGACCGGGGCTTCTTCGAGGGTGGGCTAAGAGGCTGAGACGGTGGTCGCGTGGCCTCAAGAACACAGTGCGTACTGATGCCTTCGAAGCAGGACCGGATCTATGTCCACTCCGACAGCGGGCCGTGGCAGTGTCGTGCCGAGCTGACGTTTACCCGGAGCTTTCCGCTCGACGCCGCCTCAGCTGGGAAGGGGTGGATCTCGGGCAGTGGGCGACAAAAGCAGTGATGATGTTCATGCTTCGTTCTGGAGAGGTGGGCGGCCCTGGACAGCGAGGAGCTCCTGAGAGATGGTTTCCCACCTTGCGTGAGAAGCTTTTTTGGGTGCGGCAGGCAGAATCCAAATCTCCAAGGAGATTCTTCGCACTTTACAAGAGTAGGTAATGCGGTCATGAAATCAATGAATTAGAAAGGGGGGATGGTCTGACGACGGTCGGACTCTTGCCTGGGCGAGGGATCTTGCAGTGCAGCACATGCGTCGGGATTCTGCCAGAAAGGGTGAGAAGGAATGGTGTTGTGTTTCGGTGTCAGCTGCATTGCAGCTTAAGCCGCAACTTTTGAGTCGCCCGTTCCCCGTGCCCCCTCCATGCTGAGAGCATCCAAGGTTTGCTTCGGATCACTTTGGTGTCTTGTGCTCCCTGCTGCCAAGTGCGATGAAGAAGACCAGCCCCGCAGATCCGGGCCAGCAGGCTGCAGATGAGTCCACCGGCAAGACTGACACCACGTGATCCGATAACAATCCTTGGACTGGTGCTTTTGTGTAGCCGGCGCTTGCTTTCCAGTTTCCGCTGGTTCAAACGTCATCAGAGGCTGCATTCTCGTCCGGGCGCCAGTGTCTCAGCTCTCCGCGGAGCTCTTGGGCGCTCTGACTCTGCACGACCGGCCGCGATTGGAGGTGTGGGAGTTCTCGGAGGGCTTGGGGTTGTCGGCCTTGCTTGGAGGTTGAGGCTGCAGCTGGCTAATTGCCTGAACAACTCCTGCTACAACACCATGGGCCCAGATGTCTTCGAGATTTTTGCTCTTCTTATTTGGAACGTACAGAGCCCATGAAGACAAGCAGGTTGACGATACAAGTGTGGGGAGGATGATAGTCCCTGATGATAAGGATGAGGAGGAGGCTGTGGTGGTTCTTATTCAGCCTGAGCGGACTCCATCGTGAAAGCATCCTGCACTCCCCTGCTCGACTCTCTGCGTGGCTTCAGGTCGTCCTCCTTGGCTCCTCAGCGCTGGGCATTGCGGACGAGGTGGGCCTGCTTGTAGTCAGGTATTGCTTCCGCGATTTCATCTGACGACAGCTAGCTGCTAGCTCTGAGGAGCTTGCGTGAGCTGTCGTTTACAAGTCACCCACCTTTGGAAATGGGCCAGCAGCAGGTGAAAGACGCGTTCGGGTCCGTACTGTATTTAGCAAACGTAAATGTGGGGAGGGAGGGGCTTGCTGTCGCAATATTTAATACACCCTCTCGACTTTGCCAGGTCGGCCCCAGTTCCGAGTCATAGCAACAGTTCTAAACGCAATTTGCAGGCGATCTTCGCTACATAACTGCTAAACCGGGCCGCAACAATGTTCGACGGACGACTCTCTTCTCAAGTCTGCTTGGCAGTCCGACCGACATAACAATTGTGTCGACGACTTTGGTGAGTGAGCCAAGGGCAGCGACATAGACGTACTAGCACCTTGGCTGCGACGGCTTCGGGGCCAGGGAACGAGACCAACCTTATTAGCATCACCAGTGCGAGTGTGGAAATCACTCTTGACTCTTGACTGATGTGGAGGCAGGGATGCTAGGCTTAAGCTGCCATGCCAAGTTTTTGAAGTTTACCTGCAAAAGCATTAGCATTTTAAAAGGCCAGAGAGGAAACCAAGAGTCCGGAGCTGCATGCAAAAAGCACATAGCAGCGTAGCGGCCGATGCGATGTAACCAACTAGCTGTAGGGAAAAAACTTGCTGTATATTCATACAACGATTAGTCGAACCAGAACAGAATGCAAGCGGACAGGAAGTCATGTAGCTTGCTTAGAGCAAGTGTTGGAGTATGTGATATGGAGCAGCACCCTGACAGCCCTGGCTTGTCAGGCATGTTCTGCGGAGCTCACCAGTTCCCAGTACTTTGCCATGGCGCGACAGGAGCTAGAAGGCCTAAACACAGCTGAACCGGCACTCAATTGCATGCCCACGTCATGCCGTCTCATCGAGGGACCTAGTTAAATCGGAGCCGCACAACTCGAGAAGTGCACTTCGCAGGTTGGATGTCCGACGACCACTTCTGTCGATAGTTGCAGTCTTCGGTCACGTTATTGAGGTGTGTTGTCAGTCTTGTAAGTTTTTGTGCCTCAGTTCAGTGCTCCAGCTGCTGCTCAGACCCAACAGCGGCGGATGTCAGCATCCATATACCGAGAGAGAGAGAGAGAGAGAGAGAGAGAGAGAGAGAGAGAGAGAGAGAGAGAGAGAGAGAGAGAGAGAGAGAGAGAGAGAGAGTACAGGGAACTGCTCCCGCTCCTAGCCCCGAGCAAAGCAAAGAGTACAGGGAAGCCGGTCTCACGGTGCCGAAGCCTGCTAGCCGTGATCCCCAAACCTTGAGACCGTGGAGCGGTCGAAACGTGGCCCTCAAACAATACTTAGGCACACTGGGAAAAAGGATTTTTGCGGTATGTACTTCTTCGAGGGAGGGGTTTAGGAAGGATCAACAAAAATTTAGAAAGAATCAAAAACAAATTTAACGTTTACGAGGTAATGTGCCTATTTCCTCGCTTGGCAGCCTTCGGCTTCTGGGCTCCTGGCTTCTGTGCTGCCTAGCTCCGCGGCTTTTTTGGCTTCTGGGCTCCGTTGGCTTTCTGGCTTCTTGGCTTCTTGGGTTCCTCCTGGCTTCTTGGCTTCCGGGCGGCTTGGCTTCTTGGCTGCTTGGCTTCTTGGCTTCTAGGCTTCCTTGCCGGCTTCTTAGCTTCTTGGCTTCTCGGGTTCTTGGCTTCTTGGCTTCTTGGCTTTGAGCAGCTTGGCTTCTCGAGTTCTTGGCTTCTGGGCTTCTTCGCTTCTGGGCTTCCAGATAACATGCGTGCGATGACTGGGCCTTGTCAGCTTCCTCGCTTTTTGGCCTCGCTCGACACTGATCAGCGAAGCCTCGCTGCGCGCCTTTGGGCAAGATGACGCTGTCCGTTTGTTTTCGTGGCATGTCTACCGTGGCACAAGACTTGGACCAGGATGGAGACTGTCTAGCTGACGGATCAAAGAAAGGATCGACAAGAAAATGTAAAGGCATTAAAGAAGAAAATAAAAAGGGATCAATTAACAAAACTAAAAACGATCAAAAGACAAACGCATCTTTATTCAAGGGGTACAGTTGGTACAAATATGTCTATATATATATAAAGTGTACATGTATGTATATATATATATATATATATATATATATATTCGACGCGGAGCTGGCGAGTTCCGACTAACCTGCGCGCACAGCCATGGCCGGCAACTGTTAACGTCGAAGCCCTCCACGCTGTGCCAGGCTTTTGTGGCCTTGACACCATATATATAGCGTCGCAAAATTCCGACGTTGAACTATTGGAATCTCATCCTGGCAAATAGAGCTGCTTGACCCACGCAGCCATGGCCAGCAACTCTGGTTACGCCAACCGTTCGAACCCTCTACGCGGTCCCAGACTTTTCCGGGATTGACACCGTAGTTTCGCACAGTTTCGACGCGGAGATATTGGAATAGTACGTGCCGTTGTTTGCAGCAAATCTCCAATCCCTAGGTTTTTTTTGATCCTTCCTAATTTTTTTTTGATCCGTTCAGCGTAAATTTGTTTTTGATCCCTTTTATTTTTTTTTTGATCCTCCACCCCTTCTTCGAGGCCAACTCTGTCGTATGGTATGCGGGGGACGCTGGAAGTAATTGGAACCATGCATGTGTCGCTCAAACAGCAGAGGAACCCTGATGATTTAGAATCTAGAGTCCAATATAACAATAATGCCAATCAGGGGGGCTCGCTGACTTTTCACGCCTTCCGAAAGCCCCGTAACAAATGGGGGGCCCATGATGCCGGGGGGCTTAAAGGCCCTGCTGAAGAAGAGAGAGAGAGAGAGAGAGAGAGAGAGAGAGAGAGAGAGTGTAGCCATTTTGGCTCAAGCCGTGAGTGGTTCAAGCCTGTGGGGGGCCCTCCGTGAGGCCTTTCTCCTGACTTCTTCTGAGCGCCCCACAGGACAACCTTTTTGCCCTCTTCTCTCCGCCTGATTACTTCCACTCTTCTGACGCATTGCGGGAGTTTGTGAACAGGATCTGTGCGCTGTTCACCTTCCAGGCCGTCCGCACGGTGACCGCTGCTCCCTACAGCCTCTTCCTTCTGCCGATTTTCAACAACTTCCTGAAGCCTTCGGCGAACCTACTCAGGGGGTACCTCACTGACACGATTCTCCGCAAGAGCTTCTTCGAACGGGGACATCCCCAACGTCGTGATCGTGATATTGGCAGGGACACCGAGGATAAATTCTTTGCCTATGATGGGTTCTTCCGGTAAAAGCAGTCGGGGGACAGCGGGGGGCCAACCCCCTCCGACGGCCATCGTTTGCCTCCGCTGCCGTGATGGTCCTTCACACCACGGAGGGCACCGCCGAGATGCTGCTAACTGCATTTTGGCAGGGTGTGAAAGTACCGAACCCAGGCAGGTACAAGCCTACCTCCGCCAGCGCCAAATTGACAAAGCTGTTCAGGAAGCTCTCGCAGCTCAGGGGGATGCCCCCACTTCCATTACTACTCCGACGAGCTCTACGCACGCTGCGCCAGGAGCCTCTGAACTGGGGGGCAACCGCGAAGATGCCTGCTTGGGACGAAGTGTCATGCTAAGCATGTCCCCGAGGCGGACAACTGCATATACTTTGGTACCACGGTCAAGAGCGCAGCCCATGCCAGGCAATGCTTGTTGGAGAAAGAGATAGAGCTAGCCCGTGACGAAGCACTTCGAGCCAAAGCTGCTTCCAATTCCTCGGCACCTCCACCCCCTCCACCCCCCCACTCCAAGGACTCCTCCAAGGATCGCAGACGATGGAAGGATCGTGGGTCCAAGCGCGAAGCCTCTCCACTGAAAGACAAGCCGGAGAATGCCAAAGGTCCGAAAAGCAAGAAGCGCAAGAAGAGGAACGGCTCTTCCTCACCGGGGCGACCTCGCGCGCTACCTGGCACTACTATCTGCAGTGACTTGGCTGCAGACGACCCCTTGCTGGCATCCCTCCGCGATATCCTCGGACCTGACGCAGATGCAATAACTCGAGAGCCCCAGGAGGTCCAGTCATCGTCGTCGAGAACCCCAGTCCGTGCATTGGCAAGTCCGCCAGCGGCGCTTGTGCCACCAACACCACCACAGCGACTTTCTGACAGAGCCAGAAGCACATTCATGGACCCCACGGCAATGATTAGGACGGGGGAAGCCCCGATGATGCCAGTCAGTACTACTACCACAGCGACATCGCCTTCGGCCTCTTCGGGCACATCAGCCTTCCGGGGAATTACCCCGCAAAAAGCCGGTGCCGCACTTGCTGTCTCAGCGCCGCAACGTCCCCAGCTCCTCCAGAACACTCACTACAGCGACTACCCAGGTACGCAACGTGGAGGTGCTACTCCCCACCACTACGACTCCCAAGCAGAACCACGCCGAGCCGAGATGGTGGGGACTGACCCCGATGCGAGCACTGCCACAGGTACAGCTACAGGTACGCAACCAGGCCCAGAAGACCTCGCCGTGAACGAGACGGACGACCTCGGCACCGACCACGTGCCCTCCTACATGTCTGTTGCGCCCCAGTACGGCGATCGGCCGCAGCAATCGGGAGACTGTGAGAAGCCTCCACTACAACGTGGACTACACCCCGTCATTGACGTCTTCGAAGGCGACTACGCGCCAAAATCAGAGCAAGCAGCTCAAGCAGATGATCCGCTACCTGGCCGAGACGATGCAGAGGGGGGAACCCCCGGGAATGAAACTGAGGTTGAGGCCATGCACGTGATCAGCAACCATGCCTCCAGTGCACCGGCTTCGCCTACGGGACAACCGCCGTCGCTTACCCTTCCCCAGCGCCGACGGCTTCAACAACTGTTGGAACAGCGAGATGACCAGGGGAACGTTCCCTATGACCTGGACAGTTACCCCACGGATGAGGCCAAGTGGAAGGCCTACAGAGCTGCGACGAAAACCGACTACCGAGACCTGCGCCGCCAACAGCGGCGACGACAAGAGTGGCATCCAGATAAAGGCACGAAGAGAGAGTGGAAGTACTGGGGCAAGACGAAAGGCAACAAGTGAGCGCTATTACTGCGGGGAAAATCCCCAGCCCTAGTTCAAAGACCTCATTCCACAGGCAGTCTTTAGAGAAGTTCGCTGTGCTTGCTAGGCTGCGAACCTGTCTTTGAGCGCCGATGCAAGAGCACTTTTTATTTGCAGATCTTTCTCAGGGCCGCTTGCATGTGTATCTCTCCACTCGATGTCAATACCGCATACTTGCAGGGTTTTTAACCTTTGCTACCAGGGGTGGGCTTGCAGCGCTTGCCCCTTGCCTCAATGTTCTGTGAAATACACTTTTGACGGGCCGCCGGAGCCTCCAGTTTCCTCGAAGATACCCTCCCCCGCACCAACGGGGTCCGACTTTGTAAGCTAATTAGCGGCTCTCACGCATTTCTGACGCCTTTCTGGGAAGTAACAGTATGGCCTCAGACTTGAAACAGCTCTCTCCCAACTGCCTGGCGTCCTGTGATTCCCTGTGGTTGGTCTGTTCCTCGTATTGCTGAGTGTTGCTGCCCTTGTGAAGCCAGAATAAGGGAGAGCAGAAATATCACTTTGCCACGTCCGGTTAGCATGAGCCAACCAACAATGACCTGGTTCTCAGGATCGTTTGTTAGGATCTTCTCGTGTTGGCCTCATGCAGAACCAACGAACCCACAGGCAATGGGGATGGCATCTCCTTTATGTATGCTCTTCCGACCTTTTGTAACTTTCCCCGATTCCAGTTGCCGAGGGATGCTCGTGATTTACCACACGTCCCGAGTCGTGGGTCTTGCATCTAATCAACTGGCCCCACAACAGTCGGGGGCGCACTCGCGCGCGGTGTAGGGGGTAACCCCCTGCACCATAACCCTGGCGAAAGAACGAGAGTGATATAGCAAAACTTGGCAACCTGAGATCATGGTGGCCCTCTTGTGATGTTCTGCTGCACTAGTATCTAGTATACCTAGTATACCTGCTTGCCTCGTTGTCAAAGACACACAGTTGCCAAACGTCCTTGAGTAATGTGAAGCCCGAGGGTCGGTCACACAAGAAATGTGTTACAATATCTTGTAGCCTCTTTTAGATATCGGTGTTCTGTTGTTGAACACTCAGGCCGACCCTCACCGGAACTGCGACTTTTCAGGTACCCGGGGGATCATGCAACTCTGACAAATTCAGTTTGACCCATTTAAGCTTAGTTATTCTTTGATAGTGAAGGGGGAAAAGATCAACCGGGGACAACAACAAACAAATTCTCACACTCCTCCAAAGTCCCCACAAAAAATGGGGAGGCCCTAGTGGCCGGGGGGCCTAACCAACCCCTCATGCCCGGCGGAAGAAGAGAGAGAGAGAGAGAGAGAGAGAGAGAGAGAGAGAGCGAGAGAGAGAGAGAGAGAGAGAGAGAGAGAGAGAGAGAGAGAGAGAGAGAGAGAGAGAGAGAGAGAGAGGGAGAGAGAGAGAGAGAGAGAGGGAATCACCATAAAACCGTGCGTCCCTTCAACAGACGGGCTGCTCCCGCGGGGGCATGCCCTCAAGGCGGGGAAAGGAAAGAAAGGAGTCACCATAGCCGTGGCGAAAAAAAGAGAACAAGTTCCGATTGCTATTGGCTGTGCGGAAGAAGAGAGAGAAGGCGATGCAGTTTTTCTCCGGCGTAATTGTGGTGGATGCTCGACCTGCAGCGTGCGAAGCATGAATCAAAACGCAGAAAGCTCCAGCGTCGTTCTGCTTTCGGCCCGTCTCGACTTGCCTGCCCGCCGTCGGAGCGTTGAGGTCGTTCGTTCACCCTTGAGCGGCTGTGTGTTTGGGGTTTCGGTTTCAAGAAGAACAGGGTCGGGTTCGCGAACCAAAGACGCCGGAAAGTAAACTCCCGAAAGCGAGTGGGCCGATTCGGAGAACCCGTTGCAGGATCCAGAAACAGGATTCGAGAAATGGAAGGGGCATGGATTTCGGGTCAAGGGGGTTTAGGTTTCTAGGGTTTAGGGTCGGCGGCCGAGCGTTTAACAGTTTAGAAGATTGCACAAGTCCTGGTGCAAAATCGGGTTTAACAGTGTAACAGCTTGACAGTGTAGGGGTTTGTGCCGCAGTTTTCTGAATGGATTTCCAATGTTATCGGTCTTTTTTGTCAGGAATAGCACTATAAGCTTGGTCCCCTGCAGAGGCTTGGAGGTTCAGGATCTGGAGTTGGCAGAAGACGCTGTGGTACCACTGCTGAAGTTCCGAGTGCCGTGGCGGCTGGGATTTTGTGGTTCGCGGTCGGGAGATTCAGTGTGCAGGGCACTGCAGGGGTTCAGCATGCTGCACTCAGTCGCCAGTCGCCTTGCAGCATTAGAACACTAAGTCGCAGACTCTAAGGCCGAAGGCAAGGAGTTCGAGGTGCAGTTCTCAGAGCTCCGGGACGAGCACCTGCCACTGCTTCGCAGCAGCCACGCCGGGGGCTCCGAACATGCCTGCGAGTGCCTTGGCTGAGCTTTCGGTGTTGGATTGCAGATTTGAAGACCAGCGGATGTTCCTGCACCACAGACAGAAGTCAACCACGCGTCAAGCCTCCACTTGCGCTGCTTCTCTCCAGACCCCTGGATTCCGAGCGCCATAAAGCTTGCATTCTCAGGACTTTGCAGTCGCTGCTTTTCCAGCCTGGTTCCGTGCCACAGGTAACTTCAGAACAAGCTGGCAGGGGGCGTGCCGTTGGAGTTTGCGGATGTTCTAGGCTGTCTTACAAAGGTTTGAGGGTTTACTGCGGTTGTTTAGGCGATGCAGGGCTCCACCGGAGTAGTAGCAGAAGGCATTCCATGCTGTGTCCATGCTGTGCCACGAATCCTGCACAACAGCGATCAATACCAATCATGGCACCTGTTGTCATGAGTTGACTACCATGATCGCCCTTGCTTGTATCCTTGTGCAAGCTGTCAACGTCGTTGTCTTGTTTCTTGCCATTGTTACCATGCTGATGTTTCCTGCTATCTCGTGTGCCTGTTGCTTTAGGTTCCCTGGTCGCGGCTATCGGAATTGTTGCTCCAAGGTTTTAGCTGCCCTAGTCCCGAAGGAAATGCTCATGGTGACGATGTGTATAGTTACAAGCATGATGGAGGCGATGACTTGCATTTCCACCTTTGGCAGCTCTTTGGAGGTCCTCACGCGCATGTGAGTCATGTAAGCCACTTTTTGGAATTACTGGGGGGGGCTACGGGCTACGTCAACGACATTGCCGACCACTGCTAGCAGAACATAGCCATAGTAGTGACTGTTGTGGCCTTCAATTGCTGAGTCCATGGCCATCATCGACATAAGCATGAATGAGAGAGGATGATGACAGCGGTGGCGATGAATGCGGTCATCGTGCAAGTCTGAGCTGTCAGTTTTGAGACTGAGGTGGGACTTTCCGCAGCGTTGGACGCCTGGGTCCTCCTCCGAGCGGCCTTTGCTGCCGGGCGCGAGGAGAAGAATCGGCATCCCAAACCTGGACCCGCTGGTCCAGAGCTTGGACACCCGAACCCTCGTCCTGCTCTTTGCGGAAGGAGGCCGTCGAGGCTTTCCGGACCTTGGCCAAGGAGGTGAAGCTGTGGGCGAGGCTGAAGCTGCATGTGCGCCGTGCGCCTTCTTTGCTAACCGAGCGTTTGGGAGATTGTGAGCGCATCGGGGTCCAATCTGCATGTAGTACTGTACCAAACGAGCGAACTACAGACTTCCAAAGAGGCGAGCTGAAACCCGATACCTGCATCGTAGCATATTGAAGTCATCAAAATTGCGCACCCCATGTCCGGCTTCGTCAAGCAAGCTGCGAGCTGAGTCATGTGCGGATTCCTGCGCGCTTGCAAGAGTCAGACGGGGGAAAATATGTTGTGGTGGTGGTGTCAGCGACGGTAGAGGTGGTGCCGGTCGTCGTCGCTGTGGTGTGCTTATGTGTGCTTTTTATGGTTGTTGGTCGTTGCTGTTGATGTTGAGAGTCGTGTTGGATGTTTTGGCTGATCTTGTGCCTGGTTGGCTGCGAGGCAGCGGCAACTGCTGGGCACGGCCTTTGGATTCCCTGGCGGCTTCGCTTGGGCTCTGCTGGTGGTGATGGAGGTGGCATGCTCGAGTGTTGGGTTTTGAAGCAAGAGATTTAGTCCGAGTTTGGCCAGCATCCAGCTGGAAGGGTGCTCTGAGAGCACCGAGAGAACATGTTGCTCATCACCTGCTGCGGGGTGTTGCGCTAGCGGGCGGCTGGGAGTTTGGGTTTCACACTGAGTTGCATGCTTGGGCTCGCCAAACCAGTCTGGAGCCTACTGCCCGCAGCCATTTCGACATTGGGTACTTGCCCGGACAGCCCTGCACAAGCTTCCCTCGGCCCTTTGCGAAGAGACTTGGCGGCTTTTGATTCTGCCAGAAGTCTTCGAACCCAATGTAGACTGGGGGCGATCTTGGTCAATGTCCCGATGGGAAATGTTGTTCCCATGTATGAGCGCAATGCGAGAAGTACCTTCATCTCATGTAGGAGTGACATTCCAAATTCATACTCCTCCAATGGCCGGGATTGATGCCCGGGAGACCTGGCTAGGAGGACATGGACAGGGTGTCTGAAGGACAAATTCTCGAAATCCGGGGCGCCCGTGTTGGGGGTGTGTCATTGACCGGACCTGTACTCCTTGGAGAAAAACAGGAAAGCCGTGGGGCCCTGCGGGCCGGGGGGGCTCTGTCTACTTAATGGGCCATTCCAAGTGGCACGGGTCAGGACTTGTGGCTGGGGGGGGGCGGGGGAGGAATGCCTAGACATCTTCACAGAGATAGATCGCTTTCCGGGATTCCGCTGCATCTGGGTGCACAGTGCAGAGCAACACATCTCGATGTAAGGATATGGCAGATGATCAGCAGTCCGCGCAGCTCGGCTTTTCGGAGTCAGAGCAGGGATGCCTTCTAGCAGTTTTGATACTGCATCCGGCGTCTCTCAACTCAATAGCCACGGCTGCACTCAACAATGAGGAGGCACAGAAACACAGCAATGCGGGATCTAGAGTTGTGGGCACAGTCACCAGGGGCAAGTCATGATTTTGGCATGGCCTCGGGTGCCGTTCGAGCACTTGCTGACGGGCTTCTGTTGGAAATTCGCAGCTGCTCAGTATGCATTCGAAGACATCGCCAGTGACTTCTTTGCGAAAGGGTAGGATTCGTGGGCACAGGGCAGCATGCAGAGCGGGCAACAGCCGGTGGAAACACCTCGTTGAACAGCGATGCAAATGGGTTCCTGACAGGGGAGAGCTTCGCAGACGTTACCAAGCAGGAGGTGGGGCTTGGGCAAAGCTTCACAACAGGAGGCATGCATGATCGACTTTCACGGGAGTTAATGTTGAGAGAGACGCCTCTGACGTCTCTGCCCTTCATTGAAAGCCGCAAGCGCCACGCGTAAAATGCTCCGCCAGGTGACAAAGACGACCAGCTTTCCGCCTCGCAGCTCCGGGCCCGCCATGGCGTGCAGGGCGGGACCCCGGGTCAAGGTGGCGACGGACTGATGCCCGCCTGCCCGTGGGTGGTAGTGACTAAGACTAAGCAGTGAGAAGTAGCGAGAGAGGTTTTTGAAGCCTGCTCTGACAAATCCTACTGTGAGAGAGATGTCGATCATCATGGTTCGAATAGGAGCCAAACATCTAAACGACAGTAGTCCCTTAGTACCTGCTTCTACTCATCGTGCAGGTTATGTACCGCCTTTTGCATCAGGCCCTCGTGTTCTTGTTTCGCTGCATGGGTTGTTTGCAAGAGTAGCCGAGCGATGCTAGTTTTGGAAACTGCTCCACATGGTCACCGGCGTAGACGCCATAACTAGCCCGATTTGATGTGCAAGCCCGCTTGCCTCCGCTTGCCTAAGGAACCCGGTGATCATCATCGGCGCGATTGTTGTCGTCGTTGTGATTGTGGTGGTTGGAATGAAGATGTCGGGCAATTCCTAGGCACTCCAGCTGCACTCGAGGGCAACAGAAGGGGCAAGGCTGGCTTACGGCCGTAGATTAGATATGATTAGAGCACAGACTCTCGTGCGATCTGCAAGGCCCCAAGGCCCCTTGGCTTGAAGGGAAGCGGACTCAGAAGCCGCCATTTTGTCACATGTACCTTTGTGATATCAAGGCGAAGTCTGCGTGCACCCTGAGTGCTCTGAGCGCTATGATCCCAATCGTTTCCAGCGGGTCACAAGCGGCCTTGCTGACATCCTGCGGCTGTCACAGAGGATCAAGACACTGGGACTTTAAGTTCTACATAGGGCTCAGAAATGGTTTATCGGTCCCAGGTAGCTAAGGTAAGGATATAGCAAGGATCGCATCATGAGCATTGTTTGATTGAGGGGTGTTTCTTCGGACCGGCTTCCTGTTCAACGTGGACAGGTTCAATGTTCCGAGAAGCATCTCGGGAGCTGAAGTCCATCAACAGTTGTAGCGGCTGCAGGCATGAGGGAAGAAGAAGTCACAGTCTGCACAGGTTCCAGAACAACCATTTAGCATTGTGTGTATTGCGGTGATCGCAGCCGCTCCGTGGACGACATGATTCCTCCCTGTGGCACTCGTGCAGCGTGGCAGGATGCAAAGCACCAAATTCGAGAGATGGTAAACGATGGAAAAGAGGCTGCATGCACCACCAAACCTGCAGTTGGCGCTGATAGGAGAGGCACGCAATAGTCACCCCGGAGCAGGATAAACGCGTGCACTTGTCAACAACCGTGTCTAATAGTTGCTGCAACATCAGCGCAGCAGGGAGAACTAAAATATGCCCGCAGTTTCGCAGCAGCTTTGATCTAATCACGCCTCTGCCTCAGAAGCCTCGCAGCGGCAGAGACCACGGGTACCAAAGGAACAAACGAGCCTTAAAGAGATCAACCTTGCAGTCAGGTGGTGCGGTGGTTTTCCGAAACGGATGACAGGAGGCAGCTGCTTGGTGGCATGCTGCAACAGAAATTTCTCGGCTGATGACGGCCCAGATGGGGAATTGGGGAAACGAGATAAATCCGCCCCTGTGCTTTAGTTTGGGATTTGGCATTGCGTCCACGTGACTTATCTACTTCAGGCTGTGTCACGGCTTTGGTTTGCAAAGGACCGAGCTCCCCTGTCGTGCTCCGATTGGAGACTGCAAATTTCCGGGACTATGATCCGAACTTCGCCTGCGCCTCTCTAGTCCGAGTGCGAGTGCTAAAGAAAATCCAAGAAGCTCCGAGGTCCGACTTGGCTACGCGCTTTTACAATCGGCTCAGCCTTTGGGAGTGGCCGGCGGAGGGAGCGCATCTGCAGCAAAAGGCGGGGCGGGCCGTCTTCCCTTTCTGCTTTCGGGTTTAGTGACTTAGTGGCTCCATGCTGGTGGATCAAGCTGAACCGCATTGACTGACCCTACTGTTTTTGGAGGTGCTATCGCCGGCCGCCCCGACACAGGAACAAGCGTGGAGATGCTTCGAGTTCGAGGGTTGTGGGGCGATTTGCCGCAATCACCTTACTCCTGTGGGTTTCGGGAACCAGTGACTCCTGCTAGAGTTGGTGCTTTTTTCTGAATCGGTCCTCCCTCCGCCGCCTGCTGCTCCTCCTCCTCTGTCTAAAGATACCCTAAGCAGGATGTTTGGGATCTTGAGGCCGGCTCAGCACTAAAGCTTTGTTTCGCGTTTCTGTTGGAGGCACGGCCCCATGAGCTTTACCCTGTGTGCGGGCCGCTGCTTGTGTCTTTTTGTGCTTGATTCATCTGGAGTCTACTTGCGTGAGGGTCTGCATGTTTATGCTTGATAGTCCCAGGCTAGATTTTGAGACTCTTGTAAGCCCAGTAGTTCTTCCCGAAGAACCGCACAGAGCGGCACTGCAAAGTGATAACGCCACGATATTCGACATCTTATTGTGTTAGGTCTCCATGCATATCCCTGCCGCAGGAGCTGCCAGTGCTTTGGTGCCCTGCCGGTCCCAAGGCCCGTCACAGCCAATCGCTTTAGGAGCTTTCTTCCTGCAAGGTCGCACATGGCTTCCTTTCCCAGGCCTTGTTCGGAGTTCCGCCAATCGTGGGCACCAGTGTCAAATTATGCAGGCTTTTCGTTGGCACGTTCTGCCAAGCCGGACTCATGGTCATGCATCATTGGCATCCCACAGCTACCAAAGCCCCGAGCTCGAAGAGCGCACGGCATCAATCACTCTTGGTGTTTGATCCTTGCCCTGGAGCACGTGGGGAGGATCGGAACGCCCTTCGCAGCCTGACGCGCGGCACAGCTGGAATCCTTCAGGTGCCGAGCACGTCACGTCACACGGGACATGTTCAATAAGGCCTTGACATGACCTTGCAGGGAATCGCAATGACCTATGTCGCATGGCAATCTTGTAATTCTTGCCGCGACCATGCTTTCATCAAGGCAACATGAGTCACGAGAATTCTTCAAAGATGATCAATCGTTTTGATGGTTGCAGAGACGAGTCATCCTTTCCTCGTGAAGACCTTGGTCGATTGTAACGTGTAGACCTGTTCGGGAACTTGGCGGGGAAGGAACGGGCTTAGGCTGTTAGGGAGTGGGCCTGCGGACTTTGGTGACGTCGCAACTCATGGCTTCGGGGTAGCAGGGTTAGTGGCGAGGAATTCAGATTCAGTTTCGCCGCTCTTCAGATCAGCTGAACAGAATCGGGCATGCTTCAGGTTTGGCAGAAAAGTGTGCAGGGCTTGGTCTTTGGGGATGTACAGAGGTCGTGCTATCCAGACCATGTTGTGGACCTGTGGGGAGCATACACCTGCGGGTCCTTAGCTTCCGACGCATCGACGACGGGGTTCGACAGGATCTTCCAAAGTAGTCAGCCACGCCCAAAGCCCAAAAGCTCAAGGCGCCTAAAACGCCAGAACTCCGTCTCGGGCTGGCGATCGATCGCACAGGCCCGAACTTTGCCCCCCGAAGCTAGCATCGTAAACCGACGGGGGAGCATTTAAAGAAGAAGCTTTCTAAGCTTCCGCCATGCGACCAGATGACACAACAAAATGCTTGCACTCGCCTCAATAGTTTGGAGAACTATTGCAGGCTCAGCTCCGGCGAGCAGCCCTGGAGGGAGCTGAGACGGTCGCGGGTGCAATAGATCTCCCGGAGCGCCCCGGCATGCGGTTTTATCGTCTGAGATTGCCGATGAGGCTGAGAGCTTGAAGTGTGGCATGTTATCCCAAGTATTAGCATCCCTATGACCGGCAAAATTCACGCACCAAGACTCCAAATCCTGAAAAGGAGCTGTCCAGAGTGCCAGTCCGAATCCTGAAACAGCCCCGTACCCCCCAACGTCTCCCGACTGACGATTGGTTCGATTGTTTCGAGCACAAGGCTGCAGACTCCAAGCATGTTGAGCCAGAAACCCATGATGTGGCCTGTGATGCCAGCAACTCAACTTCCCGGCAGCGTCAGCCCAGAGCCATCCCAACGACATGCAGCCCAGGTTCTTGATTCTCAGCTTGGTGGAGGCCGTGCGAACCCTGTCTCGAACTCGAACCTTTGGAGAAGTGCTGTTAGATGTTGTTGGTGACTCTGCAAACCAATTTCCGATGCTGTCAACTTTGGGATACGTCTCATTGTGCTGTTGTAGTTGGATTGCCGTGAGCGGCTCTCTCTCGCGGCATCGCCGAATCGGCAGCGTAGCCGAGTCGTCACTTGCGCAAGAGCTGGTCAGTCCTGCCACTCCCTTCTCTTTCATTGGCAGGCCACCGAGGTTGCGCACTCACGACTCCAGAGGACGTCTTTGTGGATAGATTCGAACAGAAGCGAGGGCTTCAAGCTGAGAAGTCGAAAACTGGCTGCCTTTTCTGGAAGTTCTGTGTTGGCAGGAAGGCTTTGTCAGTCCTCTTGGAGGCAGAGCGCTGTGCTGGACACGCGACGGTTTGGCCGTTGACAGATGCCTGGTAGCAGATGGTGCCTGCTGTTTGCCGTGGATGGCTTTTACGAAGAGCTTTGCCTACTGGAGTGTTGGGACCGCAAAGGTCGGAGTGCTTCGAGTTCCAGGCTTCAATCTTCAGAATCTGCGCACGCAGAAGCTTTCCTCGCCCGACCCAGGAGGACATAACAACCCAAGCAGAGCAACCCGCATCCGCTGTAAATGACGCAGAGAAAGCCGCGCCAAGTATCGCTGCCGCTCAAGATGGCCGGTGACACCGATGTGGAACTGCAGACTAGTCCTGGCTGCTAAGCCCATTTTGGATCGCACGTGTGAATGTGCCAAGTGGGTGCACGTTGTACGTGTATTGAGATGCTATCTGCTCCCATTGGCAGTTCGATGGGAGCAATGTCCCCTTCCTCTGTCGCCCTCCGACGCAGACGAAACATCTGTTCCCCGAGGACAGGTTCACTGACGATTTCCCACACAAGCCACAGCATCCGGTCCCATATGTACCTCGCAGCCAGTGTTATTTTAGCACCCTGAGGCGGTCGGTCATATCATGACCATTTCATGGACAACTAGCATCTAGTGGTGCCATGCACCCAGTAGCTGGGGGAAGTATTACGAAAACACGGGCGCTCTGTCTGTCTGTCTGTCTGTCTCTAGCTTCCTGTAGACGTGCAGACCTAGGAGATTCACACCACCGTCCGTGGTGCTTCTTGCATCGTGTTGGGCTGCTCGGCTGTTGACGAAGCTTTGTGCAAGGCGATGTTTGTCGTGTGGAAAGTCGTTGTCTAGGCAGGGGTTTTCACTTGAAGTCGTCTGATCTCGTCTTGGGGCACTCGGGAGCATGCCAAGCCGTGACCTGATGATCGTGACGTTCCGTCTACGTACTGTGCGTACGCAACGCACATGTCTAGCACTGTTGGAAGCACGAGGATTTCTGGGTTCCATCTCATCCGTCATCCGGTCGCGCCTGGTGAATGTGTTTCCGGGCAAGGTTTTAACTTGTCCGACTCTTCGAACCTCCGGCACGGTTCGGATCGAGTCCACCAGCGCTGCCTACAGGCTGTTCCGGATGGGCGCCTACGTACGGTGAGCAGCTGGCCCTTGTGTCGAGCTTGCGGATCTCGCAGGGCATCGAGTTGGAGGCTTCTTCAGACTCGAAGCTGCGCTGCTGGCTGGGTTTTGTCCGGCTTGAGGCTCTTATGATGAGATGTCGGCAACAGGCTTCAAGAGATTGGGCTATTTCAGTCAAGTCTAGCCGAGAGTCTAGCCTGCTCCTCTCCTCTCCTCAGCACTATGTTGGAGGTTCTTCGGCTTAATAACGGCCCCCGATCCAGAAACGTTTGCAGGAGCCTCGATATCACAAGTTTGGCTTTAGGATTGACAGGGTTCTGGAGTAATGGGCTCGCGTGCTTTTCCCTTGCATCCGGCACCCGGGGTTTGTCATAATCTGAGGACTCTGATCCTGTCATTTATATTGCAAGAAAAGAGAGATGTGGAGGGTTCCCGGTAGAGTCGGGCAATATTGGTTCAGTTGCAGATGATGAGAAGATGCCAATTTGGTTCAGAAGCGGGAAGGTTAGTTCACAAGTGTGCGCACCTGCATGACACCGGCAACCGTCGGCATACCATTCTCACCCTCCAACTTTTGTACCCCCTGACCCTCTGCTTAGCATGGCACAGAAGGGCACAGGGCAGGGCGTCAGGAGCCCTAACGCTCTTGCGACATTCACGCTAATCCACCAACAAAACTTTGCACCAACAGCTGCCACTTGTGAAGCAACAGGCTTTGTCAACAGCTTGCGGCATTGTTTGAGATTTGACATGTTCGGGGAATTAACACAAGGCCAAGAGCGATTGACAGCCGCACCGAGTCGAGAGTTGGACCGCGAGCCTTTCCGCTAGTGGTTGATCCGCTGGATACTGTAGTGGCCGCAAACAACAAGGAAGCAGCAGCTATATTCATCCATCTCAATTGCGGTTGAGGGTTCGGGCCCTGGTGTCGCGAGGCGAAGTTGGTCTCGGCAAGCAGCCTCCGTGAGGAAGTCCGATCGAAGCTGCCTTCCAGAACACGGCCTCCAAGAGTGACAGCTGGAGCCTGAAATCAAAGATTCCAAGCTCGAGGCTGTAAAACCTTAGCATCCCAAAAGGGAGTCGACAAAAGGGGATGGCGTTGTTCGTGGTCGAGAGAATTATGCTTCTTCTGAGTACATCAGTGGTTGTGGCCAGAAGCTGCCGCACTAGTGCTGTTAAATTCCTGACGGCATTCAAGCCCGGGCCTGTGGGCTTGGGGCACTCAAGGGCTTGGAGATTCAATTACTTCGTGTCGTGTTGACTCGACTCGCCGACAGGTTTCGTTCAGCCCCAATCTCATCGCCGCCTTATGCTGCGTTGCAATTGCGAGGATCGAGGTGCCTGTTCAGTGTACAGTGTACAGTCTTTACTGGCTCGCCCTCGCCTGTCCTTGTTGCAGGGCTTGGTATCAGAATCATCTTGATGTGCAGCGTCAAAAAAGATAAGGTACTCGTAGCACCTTCAGTAACCAGCATGCAGTTTGATGCGTGAGGTTGTGTCTGCGATACAAGCCTCACAGATGGCCTGGCGTGCAGGGTCCCCATCAGCTTGTTGGCAAGTATAGTTTGGTTTGGGTTGGTGACAGGTGTGGTTCGCGACATTGGTGGCGACTGTCAGTCATGATCGCCCTGCCTCCATAGCTCCGCAGAATTACGGGTATCACGAGCACCTGCTCATCAACAGCAACCTCATCGGCACACCTGATCCGACAAAGCTTTTTTGTTTAACATGGTGCAGGAAACTTACATTCAGCAAGCCCGCCGCAGTACCAGTTTCGATGTGTGTGTGTGTGTGCGCGCACACACACACACACACACACACACACACACACACACACACACACACACACACACACACACACACACACACACACACACACACACACACACACACACACACACACACACACACACACACACACACACACACACACACACACACACACACACACACACACACACACACACACACACACACACACACACACACACACACACACACACACACACACACACACACACACACACACACACACACACACACACACACACACACACACACACACACACACACACACACACACACACACACACACACACACACACACACACACACACACACACACACACACACACACACACACACACACACACACACACACTGATGGATTCGGCCAAGAGTACGAGTGCAAGAGGAAAAAGAGAGGCATGTTGTTCATGTTGCAAAAGCTTGTCAGATTGTGGCAACCGTACAACTTGTTTGTTGTCGAATCAACCGCCAAAAGTGGCAACTGAAAACTCTCTAATCTTGGCACAGGGGCCTTCTAATCGGGCTGGCACAGGGGCCCCAGCTCAATTTTGTGCAGGTACACAGGACTGATCAGGTCCCGCTTCCCACTTGCATCCACAGCTTCGTTGAGTGTGGTAGGACGCAAGTGCCACACTCCCCTGCAACAGTTGATTTGGTAAATGTCCAATGTCTGATTAAGTTGAAAAGCAAAAATTGCAAACAGTGTAGGAGTGACCCTCTGCTCCCATGTGCTAGGGAGGTTCACACACACACAGCCCCAATGGGGCGTACATGCTTCAAGTAGAGTGAAATGTCTGATGCGTGGCAAAAGAGTGAATGGCGCACTTTTCTCGCTGTCACTAGCGATCGGGTGATTGTCGTATTTCCTGATCCGAACAGGTTCTAACAAAAAGCACCGGCTTCAACGTGGCTAATGTGGTGACTGAATCCCAATCATGTAGTCGTCGACGGTTTTGTTCGAAGAAGAAAGCTGGGATTTTAGGAGTTCTGCCGGTGATCTCCTTGATGCGGTAGGAGAAGATCTTGCGAGCTTGTAGAACGTTGTCACCCAGACAAAGTACCACGTGTAAGAACATGTGCTTGTCTCTGGTGATGCGGTCGGGTGGAATTTCAACAGTCATCCGAAAACATTGTCCTGCCATGGAGTACCATGGAAGGCCGGCCTCGGCAGCCTTTCGCTTTGTCATATTTTTGCTGCTACCAACCGACAAACGCTTGAACAAGGAATGCAAAACAACATGGACATGCTGTGTGCTCAGGAGAAACAACAAAGTGGTGTCGTGCTGACACTCGCATGCGCAGGCTTTTTGTCACGCTTAGCGGATCTTGCAGCCCTAATCCGTCCTGAGTATTAGGATCCAACAGCGAGTTTGTTGGGACAGTCACTCATGATCTTGAAATGGCATCTACATCTAAAACCTGCACGTACCAGCATTTTTGCACAAGCGGTTTTGGACCGCTTGTGCTGAATAGTAGGATGCACAATATCGTAAGGTGCAATCGAGTCAGAAGACCAAGGATCTCGCGATGGAGATCGGTGTGCGTCCTCAGCCATGTGTGACGTTGCCGTAGGTGACGCTGATGATGTTGAATGCGAAGAGCGTGTCCTCTTTCGTCTTGTAGTATGTGGATGTTGGCGTCGTTGCTGTGTTGTGGATTGGGATGCTGGTGAGATGTTGCGTGTTTTCTTTGTTTTCATGACTGTTTTGTCCTTTTTGTCTTTGTTGTCATTCTTCTTTTTTGTCTTCGTTGTGTGCTTTGTTTTTTGCTTGTGTGTGTGACTGACTGCATGGGAGGATGTGGTGGTGTCATCCTTCCTCAGGAAGGCATCAATCTCTTCGGATCCCCATAGGCTGCTGTCGTCGTCCTCGTCCATCTGTGTGCGATCCTAAATATGTTTCAACAACTGTAGTTCTGAGAAATGGCTGCGGAGTCACAACTGCATTGAGGCATGTGCATACGCTGATCTTCAGAAGAGAGAGAGAGATGTACACAGAGACATCAATTGAGCAACCTCGCCGACCGGCATGACCTTTCAACATGATGCTCTTAATGTTGAACCTCATCAGGGATGATGGAGTTCGCAGCACAGCTTTGCTGTGTGGTTGTTGGCTGCCAGGGGCAGCAAATGTGCATCTAATTGTCAACTCAGCAATGTTGCTCACGGAGTTCTTGACCGCTTTCTCTTGTTGGATGTAGGAGTTGATGTAGTAGATACTGTCTCCTTTTGGGTCGGAGGCGTTGATGTCGGACGCTGATCAGGTTGCTCCGCATGCTTTCGTATCCACTCTTGAGATGCGATAAAGTACTCCCGCCACCATGAAGAGCCGTTAGTGGCCCAATGCCATCTCCATTGTGATGCCGTGGGAGATCGCGATCTGGTGCGTTGTTCCATGGTGCTAACACAACTGGTTGTTTTGCAAAATGCTGCGGGAAAGAGTGCATCAATCGCTGCATGCCAAACATATGTGAAGTGAGTGCACTGACTGTCACAGTTGGCAACAACGACAATCGTTGTTTTTACCGTCCTCTGCAAAGCACCCGATGGTGGTATGAACATGGTTGATCACCTATTGTTGCGAAGCTTCGAGTCTTTCCACTCGTTGCTTTAGCTCTGTGATCTGCCGGGTTGTTTGCAGAATAAACTCAGCTAATTGGTCGCGTAGAGCCTCGTCACTGAATGTGGAAGGTTCACTTCCAGTTTCGGAATCATAGTCCCGATGCTGTGTCAAAATCTCCATGAGGGCCGCGGAGAGAGCTTCACGTCGTGACTCATCGACGGGTGGCGAATCTGTAGTCACTGTGTTGGTCGGAAGAGATGCTTCGCTCATGGCTCGATGTCGGGATTCCGATAGGTGTCACTCTGAGGCAAAACTTCAGAAGGCAAAGTTATGGTGTGTGTCTGAAAGCAACATGTGTTGAAATGCGAGAAATGTGCACTACCTGGCTCTTTTTATACCAGCGTACCTTATCAGCATATTCACGACCAATCAGGCGCGTTTTGCCTGATGAGGCTTTCGAGTACGTCGAGCTGCTGTTTGCACGAGGCGAGGATCGCCGTGGTAGCCTCGTGTTGAGTAGTCAACACCGTTGTAGCCTGTTGTATCAGGCGCTCGAGTTTGGCATTCGATTCAAGCAACGAATTGTGAAACTGCGTTATTGCTGCCATAATCTCAGTCGATGAATCCGGATCAGGGTGATGCGGAGGTGGAAATGGCGGGGTCGCCGGTGCAGCCACTGCTGCGTCCTGCTGTTCTTCCGGATCTTGGTGTTGCTCTTGGTAATCTTGGAAATCTTCGTCTTCTGCAACACGTAGGAACTGAGAGCGCAAAAGCGCCGGCTGTGGATTGTGGCTGCCAACCGCAGGTTGCTCGTTGCGGCGTCTGCTATGCTTGGAGATGGATGGCCGAGGACGGCCGCTCAGCGCTTTGTGGCTGGGCTGCAATCTGCCAGTCATGGCACTTTTATACATGATGATGCCTCAGTTAACCCTGTAAATGGCTGCGGGAAGCACTGTGTTGATACAAGCGGCTCTCATGTTGCGAAGTTGCATGACTCTGGACACACGCACGGCAACTTGGCACAGTGTTTTGCTTACAGCTGTTGATCAGTATAGCCGGCAGCGATGTAGAGATCGCGCATGGCTCGAATGGCTGATGTGGCCTCGCTGCATGGTGTTGTCACTCTGCGTACCATGCGTGTGCGGGCCTGAAAACTGCTGCGAAGTATTGCAACAGAGGTGGCTGACTGTGGGTGTAAAATATCCGCCTTGTGCAAAGTGCATTGATGCGTAAGGCTGCTGTGCTGAGGGTTTATGGCGAAACCCAGGAAAATGTTGGCCGGTTCAGTTTCAAGCTGAACCGGTGGTTTGTAGAAAGATGCGTCAGTAAGCTGTGCAAAAGGAGGCAGTCGGGTCAGCTGTGCAGGTAAAAGAAGGACGCGGTTGTCGACGTATCTGGTAGCAAAAAAGAAAGCTTGATCCTGCTTGTTGTGGTCTGGAAAATGCTTGTGGTTCTTGAAAAGTTGTTTGTATGTGTGGTGCCAACACTGTTCTTCGACGGCAACCACGATGTTGCATAGGGCGGGGCTGCAGGGCGAGCCCATAGGTGCACCGCGAAATTGCTCAATAAGTGATGTACCAACAGTGAAATAGTTGAGTCGGAGCACTGCAATGATGAGTTGTGGTATATGTTGTAATTGTATGCAAAGTTTGTTGCCG